GTTTAAGCTTTTCCTGTACTTTCTAACTAAATGAGTTTCTGAAATATAAAATTTGAGTCTAATTTCTCTGTATTTTCACAAAAGATACAGATTAGTTCACTTTTCCAATGTCCAGGGTGTTTCAACTTAGAAAGTGAGCTGTAGGTTTTGCAAATTGTTTTCCTAAATGTGCCAGATTTTTTATGTATTCATTCACTCAAAAAAAAAAATTAGAATACTTTTTGTCCCCCAGTGCTTTGCTTTTTTTTTTTTTTTTTTAAGATTTATTGATTGATGCATAGAGAGCCGGGGTACAAGTCAGAGGTGCAGGAATGGTGAGAGGATACACCAGAGACGAATGGGGAGCAGAACAGGCCGACTGATGAAGTACACTGCTGAGGGGAGCAGCAGGCGGGTCAGGAGAGGTCTGCCGCGCCATGTGGGTCACCTCTGGGGCGGGGATCAAGCTCATGCTGAAGTGGCTTTAGCTTCTTAGTGCTCTGCTTTAACCTGCTGTGCCACCGGGGAGGGCCCACTTTGTTTCTATTTACAACAAAAATGCAAGGTTATTTTTTAAAGAATTGGGCATCTCTAAGTTGGTCCAAGAGCAAATTTGATATTGAATAATTTCTCCTAGGGAAGAGTTTATAAATTAAATCACTTGTATTTTTTGTACACACTGCAGTGTTTCTAAATGTCTGAAATAATTTCAACAGCAGAACTAATAATTTTTATTTTTTAATGATTGCAACTCTTACATTGCTTAAAAGTGGTAATGTTCCTTGAGTCAGACATTAACACAGCAGTGCAGCAGTCCATCTTCTTGCCTCAGTGCTGTCACACCAGCCGGAGTGGAAACTGCAGGGAGCAGACAAGTTCATAAAAACTACTTGTAGAGCAGCATCTGATGAAGCCACATGTAATGGTTCCCCATAAGGAAAGTATGTGAATACTGCTTTTGCAAAGGATGAAATATATTACTGTAATTTTAGCTTGTGCTTTGTACTATGCTTTCAATGAGTTATTTAAGTCTTTTTAGTGATCTTTGTCCTCGTCCACTTAAAAACTAAATCATAGTAAATATTGTATAAAATAAAAATGTCATTATATCTTAGTTAGGGAACATGTACATAGACATTGAAAGAAGGTTTAAAAAACAGTTTTATTACGCAATTGTAAAACACCAAAATATAGATTCATCTTTGATATGTAACACACTATAAATGTATTTTGTACAGCATCTGGTTTAAAAGGTGCCTTAAGTTTACCATTAATTGCTTTGTTCTATATATAGATTATATCCAGTGTATCATTTTTAAGTAAATAACCTTATTTTAGTATACTTTAGTGACGTGTTTTGTGATATTCTACTTAAATGCATTATGTACCCAAAGTCACATGTCTGGTGAAATTTTATAACAGATAAGCTAATGTACATATCTGTGACCTTGAGATGGGCATTTCAGCGGTTAGAAACCCCATATGAAGAATGGAGCCGGTAAGTAGCCACCCACTCACTCATTTCCTCAGTTTAGAGAAACTCTAGACCTAGTTTTTTTTTTTTTTTTCTTTGAAAAAAGAACAAAACATTTGTTCTCATGACAGAAGTTTTGGAAAACATTGGAGAAAATAAAGATAGAAATAAAAATCACTTAAAATTTTATTGCCACATGGTACCACTATTTACATATGAATATTGCTTTTCAGTCATCTCTGCATTTTTATTTTACAATATTAAGATCATAGCATGTCATGTATCCATTGAAAACATAATTTTAAAACAAACTACATAATTTTCCAGCAAGTAGATGGAATATTTTATTTTTGTTATTGCCCACTGAATATCTGTGTTATTTCCATTGTTTAAGAAAGCATAATGTATCGAACATCCTTCCACATAGCTTTCTATTTTATTTTCTTAGATTCTATTCTTACAAATGGGACTAGTGGATATAAAGCTTTAAAAGATTGAGGGTTTTGCTTTTTTTTTTTTAAGTTGAAGTTTTGGCAAATATTGCCTAATATACTACCTAGAGCCATTTTTTACTTACTCTCCTACCCACAGTGTATCAATGTGCATGTCACTACCTGTACAGGTAATTTCTCCAAATTTTTTCTCTCTTTTTGCACAGTATATGTTTTCTTGTCCTGTGATCTGACCTATGGTGTTCCTACTACAGAATTTACTTTTTGAAAAGTTGGAACTTTGAGAATGGAAAGCCTGGAAATAGCTGTATTATGTAGCATATCATTTTCCGGTACTCAGCCTCACCATCTGTTGGGGCTGTTTTCATTTGTATGTAAATTTGTTGTGCCCTCTGATGCCTTTTCTTAGGCAGTTGAACATGTTGCCTGTCAGATGGCTGACGTGTTTTCCTCAGTCCTTTGTAGCTGAACATATTTTGTGTGTGTGGATATTTTGACAATTAACCTTGCCCTCTGTCGCTTATTGTTACCGTGTCCTGTTAATACTTCCTTGGGCCTGGGAAATTTTTCTGGGTTATTTCTATATTTCCTTCCTTCCTTTTACTTTTTCTGGATTGGAGTTACTAAAATATATATCTTTAATGAGTAATAGATGATTATTTATCTTGATGCTCAGATCAACATAGTCTTGGTGACTAGGAGTTCATCAAACTAACCCCTGAGTCTTGTTAGCACATAGCTTTCAGTTTTTGAGCACTTACTACTACTTGACACACCAACATGTTGCAGCTTTTTCTGGTGTTTTCCTTGCCCAGTCATGGAGTCAATCATTTTTCCTAGGCTCTCTGGTACTTTATGTGTGTGTGTGGGGGGGGGGGAGGTAGGGAGAGGCGGTATAGAAATGAGGGTGTAGGTGACACATAATCAAGATAAATTTCCAATTGTCTATTGTTTCTAGTAATTAACATTTCAGAATTTTCACTTGTGCATTTTTGGATCTTTGGGCATTTCATGATTATAATTTTCCATGGGTATTTTGGCAGTTGGGCCTAGTTACTCATCTTTGTATTAGTGAATCCCAGTTTGGTTCTGTTCCTCAATTTCCTGTTTTTATCAGGGAGTGGTAAGACAATAGCTGTTTGAGCAAATTTGAAAGGTAATCCTTACCTACTCAGGGCATTTGCACCTCCCCTACTCTGTTTACCTCCTCTGCCCTGCCCCAAAAGTTTTGTCATCGTCAGGCCAGGTTCAAGGAAACTTTCTGAATGGGGAATGGTGTTCCAGCTACAGCTAGAAGAGGAGTTTTTTGAGAGGTTTACTGGAGGAACTCCAGAGCCTGAGAAGAGTTCTAAGAAACTTTTTATGTGCATAGGTCCTCTTCATGGTGTTCTTCCATAAGAATAAAGGTTGGAGGTATTTTGACACTGCTGTGGTTTATGGAGACAAGTCTCTGGATTAACTCCAGTGGGAATTGGTTTCAGTAAGCTGTCACAGGTCTGGGTTGTGGGAGCATCCTGTGTCCAGACAGTTGGTAGCTAGCTACCCTGTTAACTGTGGAGGCTGGGGGGAGGACACGGACTGCTCTAGCTCGAGACAGGCCACTGCAGCTGACTGCCTGGTACTCCAGCTGCCCCTTCCCACCCACTTATGAGGGGCTTCTCTGGAAACACTCCCATATCTCTTAACAGTCCCAGATGTGTGGGTCGTGATTTCCTGTTACTGTTTCATTTCACACTTGATCTCTATTTTTCAGGATTTATTCACTAAAATTCCCTGATTTGTGTTTAGATATCTTTTTTTTTTTTCATTATTTTTGAACAATTTATATTTTCCAACCAGTTTTACGGTGGTATAATACCATTGTATGCTTGATCCATTTTCATATTTTGGATGCCACAATTGGAGGGAATTTTTACATTGACCTGGATCACGGGGGAATCTATATGCAGAGTACCAAAAGAATTTCTACCCAGAGATACTAGATGCCTCAGTCGAGATAAATCTAACATTAAATTTTAGATTTCATGTTGATCTGGAATCCTAATTTTAGAAATGTTTAAGCAGCAAAATATGCCCTTAAAGTTGATTCTATGGTTTGTGCAATTTGCATGAGAAACAGTCTAGGTAAAAGGCCATTGTTTCTCCAGTTTTCATCCTAGAGACTTTCCTGGTATGATCTACTCAAGCTGCTGGCAGAATTTACCTGTTAGCACTTTCATAAACTCCTCTTGAGTATCACACAGGAGGACTGGCAGATCTGTACTCTTTATGGAGGTCAACTCTGCCAATTATGTACAATGAATTCTAAATGAAAATCTGAGAAGACCCGCCCTGGTGTTTCCACTTAGCATACTATGAGAGCAGAATTGAGATGAAAGAGGACAGTGTTGTCTTTGTAGCAGCAAGGATGATCTGGTGCTGGCTTTCCAATCTTTGATGAGGGATGACACAGACAATTAATTGTGCCTTGAGTCAGGACTGATCTTGGTATCTGAGCTGCACTGCCCTAGAGCACTTGGAAAAGGGGAAGAGCACAAGGTGAGTTTTGCAAGTGTGGTCAACATAATGAAGTACCAGGATGAGAGCCATTAGACTAACCACCTTATACTCCAAGTGAAAAGAATTCAAAGTTAAACCGTCAGTGGCAGAGTGACCTGGGACACTGTTCCTCTTTGACACTGCAGCACACTGAGTACACAAAGCTCAGTGGGAAGTCCTGAGGGGTTATTACTTCAATTAATGACCCCTGGGATACAATGAGAAGGGCTGGGAACCTTGTTAACCCCAAGGGTTAAATGATTGACATCTCATACCTCTTTACTCTAGAATATGTAATTTTAAAAAAATGCATATATTGTTATTGTAGGCCATAATCATAAATCTGAGTAGTAATATCTAGTTCAGTATTAATGTGATTGCCTATTATGGTGGCCTCTGAATGTTTTATGAATGTTTTACAATTAACTGAAATTGTAAGTTAAATAAGGAATAGAATTACCAACATCACATTTATTCCAAGTAGTTTGATTCTGTCCCATATTTCTACCTACTTCAACAAACCTTTTCATTCTCTGTAAGTAAACCAGGCAGAGATGTGAAGGGCATCACTTTATTCTAATGTTCTTCATCATTTAGGGAGATTTTTCTGACAGTTTTCCTTTATATCCTCTTTCAGCTCCCCTCCTGGTTGAGATACTAACATTGAGGGTGGTGGTAAGCTATTAGAGGAAGTAAAGAAGGTGAAGGCTATATACATTTTAGCTCATGGCTGGCATGTCTGGGCTTTTACCCTGCATGAGGAAAGGAGAAAGCAAAGTGAAATTAAAATCACAGATAAATAAGTTCACGGAAGGACTGATGTTATAAAAGATACTAGTTTTGTTTCCTGTGGTTAGCTCTCTTTGCCTTTGTTGCCATTTTTGAGGGAAAGACACTTAACAGGTTGGTCTTCTGCTGCTCTGCAGTGGCTGGAGGCTGGGTCCATATTGTCCAAGATCTCACCTCTATATATAGCTTCTTGGGAAGAAGTTTCTTTGTATCATAAGATTAGGAAACAGGAAGGAGAACGGTTTCAAATGTTCTAAGGACTTTTCCAACCATAGGAGGAGCAAAACCAAAAAAGCTGAACAAAGGGTGTGCCAAAGGGCTGGAGGCCAGCCTTGCTGTCTCAAAGGCACATGGGCCCAGCTTCACGGGTGCCAGGCAGACCCTGCCCAGGAGGAGCCCTCTAGTCCTCTGGTTCTTAAGAAATATCCAAACCCAGTGCGAATAGAGGAAGGCCAAGCCAGCCACGCTGTCCATGCAGAAGTCCAGGAAAGAGGTAGACCCCTGGATGGACCCCAGCCCAAGCCTGGCCAGAACCCCAGGCCCAGGAAAGATAGGTGAGTCCCCGAAGTCATGGCAGAGCTGTGTCCAATGTTCAGGTCTTGAATATCAGGAGGCCCCCAAATGTAGTGCCTGGTGGGCTTCTCTTTATTACTGATCCCTGGGTTAACTCAAACCACACTCTCTCACCCTTTTGCAGCTCAGCCATGGCAAAGGTGGTCACTGTGCTTCCACTCTTCTGCCCCTCGGTGGTAGAGACTGAGGTCCGGTGGTGACCTCCAAGCACCAACTGCCCGGTGCCCGGCCCTGGGCCAAATTCAATGCTTACTGCAAACAGGTAGACCCCACGCTCAGGGGCTTGGAAGTACCCCTGTTGGGGAAAGTAGCTGCTGCCAATGTTGGTGTGAGTAGTGCTGAACTTCACCGTCTGCGGGGCAGTTGTCCCTTCTGAAAAGCTGGCATAGAAGACCACGGGGGTGCCTGGAACACAAGGGGGAACTGCTGAGTGACATCCTTCTTTGGATGGGAGTTGAAGCCCTGAGACCTGCCTTCTCACCTTACTCACTTAGAAATAGGTGTCTGTCATAGTAACCTGGATATTTCCAATGACAATGTATCTCAGGGAGGGGAACTACCTAGCTAAAGGTCAGTATTGCACTAATTGTGAGAAAGGAAGATAAATACAGTGTATTGTCTCTTCTGGGGCACATTTAGTAAAGTAATTTTTTGTTTCATCCTTTTTCTTTCCAATACCCTCGAGGGAGAGTGTTACAGTATAAGGCACTTGTTTTCTTATAATATTGCTGGGGAATAAACAAACAAATCCCAGTGCACAGGAGGGCTGCTTGGCTTTTGTTGCCATCCTCCTCAGCTTGGTTTCCAGGAACTGATCCAACTAAGATCGGGTGCCTAACTGGTTGCCCCAGTGGCCGTCTGGGGAGGGAAGGCAGTTCTCTTGACTCCCAGACCACTGCTGCCTGCTAGGAATCTTTAGATACCCAGAGAAAAGAGAAAATGTGACCGGCACCTGGAGGAGATAATATAACACTGGAGTTGTTTACAGAGCAATGGAGGGAGGAGAAAAGCAAACACCTGGAGCCTTGCCCTCACCCTTCAGAGGAAAGAGGAGTGGGGCCGGGGAAGTCTCTTTATGCCTGTCATCTTAATGTTTTCAGAATGCTTCAGCGCTCTGGAGTACAGATAGGGAAGCTGCGGCTCAGGAAGGGGCAAAAATGGCACACTAATAAACTACCCAACAGGGAGCTGCCCTTGGGTCCCCTACTTTCTGGTGTTCTCACCTGATGAGTGCTTTAGCCAACCCTAGGAGGTAAGAAAGAATGTGGGCGTGCAACCCCCTGCCCACCGCAAGCAACTGGAGGAAAGTGCTCTGGGGGGGAATGGTGGCCTTGAATGTACAGTGAGGCGGGAGTCAGCCCACTGGGCTGCCTAGCTAAGAGTCAGGGAGGGGAGGACTGGCCCCGACATGGGCCATACCGACTGGGGCCCAGCCGTGACACTGGCCTTGGCACGGACAAGGTCGTGGTCCTCGCGTACCCTCAAAGAGCGTGGAGTTGAGCCCAAACTGCATTTCTCAAGGAGTAAAAACAAAGCCTTCAAGGAGGAGCAATGTGCACAGCAGCTAGTGACATGTGCTGGGACTAGCGAGCCAGCTCTTTCGGCCTCCAGTCCAGGAATAGCCCAGTGAATGGAAGAAAAGGCTGTTTTTCTCTAGTTCCCGAAGATTTTCTGAGAATGATTGGAGATTTCAGAACAGCGGCCCTGTCAACGACGCAGGTCAGCGGCTCGCTCTGCAGTTCCCCCGGCTCCCAGCAGGGGGGGCGCCGGCCCAGCCAAAGGCAGGCTGGCCGAGCGCGCCCCCTGCCGTTGCGGGGCTCCCTCTCCACTGCGCCTCCTGCTTGCGCGATGGAGCAGGGCTCTGAAGGAGACCCCACTCAGTGGCAGTGGACCTTTCAGGTGGGAGGCTGTGATTCACTGACTTGCTAACAGGCGGGCTCAGAATGGGCTTGCCTGAAGGGCACAAATGCAAGCCCTCTAGTCTCCCTGCAAGATAAGGGTGATTTTTAATTTTTATTTTGATGAGGAAACATTATTTTAGAAATTACAAAATATCTCAGTGATAAGCGCCAGAAAATTCTAAATGCATTAGCATGTTGAGACCTTACACCACTCATAGGGAGAAAAATGATGGAACAATTAGTGTAGGCAGATAAAGCCTCCACCCTGAATATTCTGGGGAATGGAAAATGTTGACTGGTTTCTACAAAATGTCAAGAAAATGATAGACATCTGGTAAATTTCTCTTACCCATCACAATAGCCCTGTGACACAGGTGGTGATTCTCCCGTTTTACAAAAGGAGAAACTGAGATGAGTCAGCGGTATTTTAGAGCTCAGGCTCGCTCTACTCTTAGGAAGATACAGGCCTCTGTGGCCATCAAGGAGGGTCAGCAGGAGGAAGACCTTGAGCTTTCCACATGCCAGGCTACACAGGGTACAGACAACCCAGATGGCGGCCGTGGGCTTGGCCCTTGGGCACCAGCACCAGCCTCTCTGGCAGGAGAGTCACTGTAGGCCGCATGCAGGGAGCGGCTAAGGAGGTTGACTGCGCACTGTGTCGGCCAGGCCAGTTTCCCCAGCCCAGGGCCCTGGGACCTTGCAGGGACCAGTCATCTAGAGCCTGTTACAGGGGAGGAGCCATGCCCTAGAGACAGCCAGGCCAGGGTCAGGGCGACTCTGGACTGATGCTGTTTCCAGGGTCAGGTGGCAACAATACATTGTTGAGTGGATGTGATGATTCAACATGACAAAGCCCAAAAAGGGGGATACAGGGGGCCTGTTTCAGGTCCTGAGCAGCAAGGCAGGTCAGCTGTGCAAGGTGGTTCCCCCCTTCTGGTGCCCAGAGCTCTTCCTGCATTCGCTTCCCCTGGTGTGCTGCCCCTCTCAGGTAACATCAATACCTGTGCGCACACACTCTCTCACTAGCCTTCTCTGTTGCAAAAGAGGTGCTTATAGACAACCCTGTCCTAGATTCACCTAGTCTCTCTGGGTCCAGGAACTCACCTGCCTCCCTGGGCTCAGCTCCCAGGGCACCCATGACTGGCTGGCCAACATGTGCATCTGCCAAAGTCTCCACTTGCTTCCTGTCCCTCCTCCTGGGAGCTTCCAGATCTTTCTGCTTCTTCTTTCCTTTCCTGTTCAGCATGGCCTGCAGCTTTCCCAGATCCAGGCTGACATTTGCTGCCAAAAGCCCTTGGAAGTTCCCAAAGAGGCTGTGGAAAAGCTTCTGGTGGTGCTCTAAGTCGAGCTCAGTGATGGCCAGAGCTCCACGGAGGCCCTCGAGGGAGCTGTTGAGAGAAGTGGCCCAGGAGACCTCACAGCACTGCCCTACTTGCTTGACGTCTGAGCTCAGGCGCTGGAGCTCCTGCGCCAGCCAGGCCAGGTCCATTCCACCGGCCTCCTCTCCCGAGGCATCGTGGCTGGGCTCCAGGTGCTCTGCCTGCAATGGGGACTGCACTTGGCCTCCCGCCCTGCCCTGCCCGCTATCCACCATGGCCTGCTCCAGGGTCGTCACCCGGGTGGCCAGGGCATCCCAGCCCTGCGCCTGCTCCTGCAGCCCGCTGGCAGCGTCCTGCAGAGCCACGCGGATCTGCTCATAGCGCAGGGGCAAAGGGGGGGTCTCCTCCTCTGACATCTTCTCCATCACCTCCTCCCCAAAGAGGGCGGTCAGCACGGCCTCGTGCCGCAGCGCGTCCTCCAGCAGGGCGGCAAAGGAGCTGTGGAGCTGTTGGATCTCGCCGCGGAACTTGGCTTCAGCGGCCTTCAGCGTGTTGACCTCGCTGCCCAGGGCCCGCAGCTGGCTCCGGAGCCGCGACGAGTCATCCCGGGCCCGCTCACCTTCTGCCTTTTGCGACTCCACGGCCAGCGACAGAGCGTCCACGGCGCTGCTCAGGGCCTGCAGGGAAGAGCCGTCCTGCTGGCGCCGTTCGTCCAGACTCACCTGGGTCTCCTCCAGGGCCCGCGTGTGGTCTCTCTGGCCCTCCCTGATGACATCCAGATCGAAGTAGAGCTTCTGGCAGTTGCAGTCTTTGACATATTTGATGAGGTCGGCGTGGCCGCCCTGCAGGTGCTGGAGGGTGAGGTTAAGCTCCAGGAGCTGCCGCTCCATCTCTTCCTTATTCTCCTCCATGATGAGTGACTTCTCCATCAGGATCACCCGCAGCTCTCTCAGCGCAGTGTGATTCACCTGCAGCTCCTTCACCAAATGCTCCACCTTGGTGATCTGATCAAAGGTCTCATCAGATTCGGAATACAGCTCCTTGATCTCACCCCCATGCTGGGCCAGAGTCTCCCTCATGTCTGCCAGGGTGCTCTGTAACTCCTCTTCCCTGTGGCCAGTGGCCACATGCAGAGCCGAGAGATTCCTCTGCAGCTGACCCAGTCTGGCCTGCAAGCTTTCTGGCTCTGGCCTGGCTGCTGCTCCTGCGGAAGCCACCAGCAAGCTGCCATTGACCCCCAGGGATTCCTGGGCCTTAAGGAGCTTCTTCAACTTCGTGTCCACATTGGCCTGGACCTCAGAGAGGGAGAGCTGCAGAGAAAGCTGCTGGGCATGCAGGCGGTCCTCCATGTCCTCCTGCATCTGGCTCACTTTCTGGACGTTCTCCTGGACCTTGGACTCAAATTTGGCACCGAGCTCCTGGAAGTCAGACCTGACCACAGCACTCTCTTGGACCCTCTTGAGGGCCTGTTGGTTGGCCTCCATATCAAGAGAGAGGTTTCGTATGGCCTGGGAGAGAGTGTGCAGGCTTTGATTGAAGCTCCTCCAAATGGGGTTGAAGTGGCCTTGTAGGAAGGCATCCATGTGGAGCAGCAGCACTTCCGAGGATCTGCCAGGAAGCCCTGCAGCAGACACACGTGTTTACATGGTCCTGGGGAGGGGTGGGGACTAGAAGAGGGAACTTCAGAGGTCTGGGCCTTCTTACCTCCCTTCCCACTCCTCCCCTCAGCCCTTCCACCTGCCACTCACCAGACTCCGTCCAATTGGCCTCAGTCTGGTTGGCCTCAGCCGTTGTAGCTGTGAGATTGCTTGGTAGGGCCTCCCACAGGCCTGCGGGGTTATCTGCCACTTGGTGAACATCATTTTGAAGGTCTCCCAAAGCGCTGCTGCTGATCCCTGTGGCTAGCTGGCCTGGGTATACATGAGAGAGAAGCTTCAAGGGCTAACTCTCCAGGACTGGGTATGTCATGAGATAGGGAGGAGAATTTGGAGGAGCTAAGAAACCTTTACTCTCAGAAGGGAAAATGCAAGACAAATGAACCTTCATCCTGCCCCCTATACCCACAGCAGACATGAATAATCAATCATGGCACATTTTCTCCCTTAGCTCCATGTGCATGGCCTCTAAAGATCATTCTAGGCTTCCATTGTTAATAGATAGGATGGTGAAACTCATTCACTATCCCAGCATTGAAGTCAGCCATGAAAGGCTCTACTAATGGTGTCTTGGTGGTTCTCCTGTACTGCCTTGACACCAGGAACAGCTTGACTTCCTGGTACTGGTTAGCAGGGTGTGGGGATGCTTCTGCCAGGTCCTAGAGCTTGTGCATTTCTGGGGGAAAGAAGTGCCAAAGAAAGTGTCCTTTCCAGAAAGTGGATCAAGGAAAAGGGTGCATCTGCTTAGCCAGCAGGCAGGTTACTAAGGACTCTCCTTGTTGTAGAGTTGAGAAAATAAATGTAGGGGTCACAGAGGCATCTGTGCTGATTCTGGAGGCAAAGTTTTCCTGAAATGACACCGCTTCTGAGGAGAAAGCGCCTGGGTGCATGGGTGCTTTCCACCTGCCTGCCCCTTCTGCATCTCCTGGGAAAGGAACATACCAGGTTCAAGGCTGACTGGCCTATCCCAAGGCTCCTGATGGCCATCACCTGGATCTGGAGGCTCAGGGATTGCCATGGGATCTGTAGAGAAGAGGCATGGAATATTGACACCAGAGCTCATGACACCTAGGGTCAGAGGTCACAGAGGCAGGGGGCCACGGGGAGCCCTACCGTGATGCTGGCAGTCAGGGCCTGCAAAGCCTGGGCAGCACCTCCAGGCCACAGAGGCCAGCACCTTCTGCTTGATCTGGTACACTGGCTTGTGGGCCATGCGGTACCTAGGGGAAGAGGGCCAGCTCAGCAACTCCAATGTGAGCCAATGCAGGGCCTGGACCAGGGGCCCGCCCTGCCCCACCCTACTCACATGACTTTGACTTTCTGGCAGTCCGGCGCCCCCGGTGGACACGGCTGCTGTGAGTTGATGAGGAATTTCTGTGTTTTGCAAGCAGCTATGAAGGTGACCAGCCTGGACTTCTGGTAGGGGCACCAGTTACTAGGAAAAAAAAACAAGCCAGAGATGAGGGCTGCTGAGTTGTGCTCAGGTTCCCAACAACTCTCCCTAGAGGTCAAGTGGGAATAGCAGTGCAGAGAGATCGCATCCAGCTCCCTGCCCCACCTGCTAGGAATTCTGGAATCCATTAGCTTCAGCAGGGAGTGCTGCTCTGCATTATTCATTCCTCAATGCCAGGCTCCCAAGCAAAAGCTCCAAAACATTGCCTGCTCACCATCAACTACAAAACCCCCCTTCCCCAGGCCAGCACAGAAACTGAGGAACACCCTGCCCTCAAATCCCACAGCCGAATTGCTGATAGAGCCATGAAGGGCTCTCACTGTTTCTCCCGATGCCATGAGGTGGCTGAGCCCTCCACATGTTCTGACAGTGTGTGACCTGGAGCAAGGAACTTGGGGTGTTTCCATTACCCATCTATCAGACAGACATCGTCGCATGCAGCTGGGTATCAAGCCCTGGACCCTGACACATAATTGGTGAGTATGTGATGAGAGCCACGGCATTACCGCATCACTGTTCACATCTTCACTGGAGGCGGGGCTGCGCCCCATTACAGCCATTGTGAAAATACCTTTTAAGCAACCCAAGAGACTGCCCACGCCACAGCCCTACAGGGTATGCAGGGGGTTGCAGAGTTCCCTGAGCACCTGGGGGGCAGCCCCCTTCAATGCCTTCACAGTATATGCTGCTATGCGTCTCTGAGCGGGAGGGTGCTCACTAGCCCAAAGGCAGGCTGGGTGGGCTCAATAGAATGGATCAGGGGGTCTTCCCCCAACAGTCAGCTCCCAGAGTGCAGGTGACAGTGATCTCCATGGCCCAGTTCAGTTCAACACTAAACTGGGTGCCAGGTGCTAGGCTCAAGCTCAGCCATCCTTGGTGCCAACATGGAGCTCATATCTTCTCTTCAGGGTCTGAGGAAGAGCAGGCAATGTCAGAGAGTGTGGCAAGTGCTGGGACCTGGGGTGACTTTCAGGAGGAGGTATAATTGGGGAGAGAGTGAGATGCAGCCTTGGAAGCTATGATAAAAGCATGCGGTCCCACTGAAGTGGGGACAGGAAAGGGTCTGCGTTGGGAGGCTGCGGAGGGAATAAGAAACTGGGCTGTTGTTTTTCGTGCCATCTGAGAAGCTGGACTGTGTTCTGAAGTCACTGAAGTCATGCAGGGTTTAAGCAGGGAGGTGACATGACAGAACTCCCTGGTTCCTGGGCACTTAGGTGCTGGTGTCAGGATCCAGATGGATGGTGATGGAGGACATGGCAAGAAATGGCACCATCTGTGAGGTAACAGAAGGCAGTGTTCAGAGGCCTCAGTGATGGGGTGGCTATGGGGGTTGTGGTTTCATCCTCTGGAGCTGGTCTCTATCCTGGAGCCATCACACTTCTAGGGACTGGGGGAGGCTTTGAAGAGGGATTGAGTGGCCATATCTACATGCTTTCCCACTTGGCTTGCAAAAGTCTGGCATCCAAATTTTACCCTCTTGGCAACAGAGTGAAAAAGCATCTTAGAAAAATGACTGAATTTGGAGTCCCCCCCTGGTGACACAACGGGTTAAAGTGCAGCACCATAAAGCTCACTGCAGCCGCTTCAGTGCAAGTTTGATCCCTGCCCCAGAACTGACCCACATGGCCCAGCAGACCTCTCCTGACCCGCCTGCCATTCCCCCCAGCATTGTACTTCGTCCATCTGCCTGTTCTGCTCCCCGCTCTGTCTCTAGTGAATCCTCTCACCGCCCCTGCTCCTCTGGCCTATACCGCAGTTCTGTATGCATAAATAAATAAATCTTTTTAAAATGACTGAACTTAAGAGGAGACCTAAAGACACTGACATTAGCAGTTCCCCCTTACAAAAAAGCTCAGCAGAACATCCTATGACAAAATGGATTAGAATGCCCCATCCAAACAGCGCTTCCGATCAGTTTCTGTCTTTCTATTCTTAAGTAGCTGGAAATCCAAAGATGACCCCTGAGGAAAACCTGCATTATCAAAAAAGAAGGTCAAAGGAGCAAATGGAAGACAATTGACTAAGAGAAAACTGACCCCAAGCAGGAAGAAGAGTACTTCCCTAGAGTTGGGATTAATATTCCCAGACTGATAAAAGAACAAGAACAGAAAACTACTTTTAAATGGGTGCAAAACATTCTGAGACTAAAAATTGGAAATTAAAAATATGACAGTGGAAATACAAAAGAAATTTTAAAGAAAGACAGTAAAGTTTAAAATTTTCCCTAAACAAAGAGTTGGGGGGGAAAGAGGGAAAAGATCAGAATGGTAAAGAACCAACATCCAAACTACAAAATTTCCAAAAGGAGGAAATTATTGATGGAAAAAATCAAATATTACAGAAGTGGAGGACTTGAATTCTCTTATTCAAAGAAAGTGTGAACTACCAACAATATTCTGAAAATAATTCACATTAAAGCATGTCATTCTGAAATTTTAAAGCTCTGGGAATTGAGGTGATTCTACATGTTTGCAGAGAACAACACACGCGTGCCAGTAATTAGCATGGCCTTGAACCTCTCAACAGCAATACTGAACACTAGAACACAGTGGAGAATTACCTACAAAATAATGAAGGAAAATATTTCCTTTTGGAACCCTATACCCATCCCAACTATTAATCAGTGTTAGGAGAACAGAATAGATTTCTACAAGTCAGTTGTCAAAACATTTCTCTTCCGGTCCTACATCAGGGAGCTGTGCAGAAAAATATAAAAAGGGCTCATCTTTTTTTTTCAACTCTCAACTGTACGCAGCCTACATAGTCATATGAATGTAAATACTCAAAATGACAAGATTGTGGAATGATGACTGGAAAGGGTGGCTGTGCTTGTACATGTGTATTGGAACTGGAGTACGGAGGATGAATAAGAGCAGAAGCGCAGGTAAGACCACTTCCCAACACGTAGCAGTACCGGCGTGTTACTTAGAAGCCGGGGCTTCTGATTTTCTCAATAACATTTGTAGAAGGTTTGACTCCCTAGTGTCAGCAAAGTTTCTCTTTGGGGATAGACAGTAGGTATTTTACATAAGACTGACAAATTAACTTGTGGGACACAATGAAAAATAAAAAAGCAAGACAACAGAAATGAAACCAAATGTGGCGCCCATGAAGTTGGCCCTGATCTAGGCTTTCCAGGTCATGTGGACTTTGTTTCAACTCTGCACTGTAGCACTAAAACAGTCACAATAGACGAATGAGTGTGGCTGTGCTCCAAATAAAACTTAATTTACAAAAGAAAATGGGGGGGGAGTCAGATTTGTCCAGAATATTCGATTCCTGTCAATGGGTGTATTAACAAAATAAAACTTAATATATACATATACATATATAGACAGATAGATAGATAAAGTCATTTCCATCTAGATGAAAAAATGCAGATGAACCGGTAAGAACATTTTAGAAGACAACAGTGAGGCGTTTCTCATGTATCTAGATCTATCCATCTTGTATACCTCATTATCAAGACCATCTCTAATGCCGACTAATGAACAGTGGAACATGTCAGAGGACTTGACAAAACCGTTCAGTGAATGGTAAGATGGGACACATCAAAAATCTGGACAAAAGCAAAGAACGTTCACTCAGCACTGGAACAGTGGACAGTAGAAGTGCTGTCCCAGAACTCTGGGGCCGGGGGCCAGATGCTTATCTGCACAGACTGTTCCAAGCGCAAAATCTGTGGCTCCAGCCCCACCTCCGCCCTGGGTGCCATGGAGACCCTAGAGCTTAGGCTGAGCCCTGGGGAACGCGCTTTCTATGCCAGTGGTTCTCAAACAGGAGCGGGAACTCCCCCGCATTTGTCTGGCAGTTTGTGGAGACATTTATAGTTGTGACGGGGGTGGGGGCACCACTGGCATCTGGTGGGTGGAGGTCAAGGATTCTGCTAAACCCCTACAAAGCAAAGGACACCCATGAACAACAAAGAATTAGCCAGTCCCAAAGGTCAGTAGTATCGAGGTTGAGAAACGTGTTCTCCACAAAGTCCACTCCTTGTGCGTGCTCTCAGCTCCTGCAGAGGCTGCCTGGGCACATCCGGTCTGGTCCAGCCTGCCAGGGAGTGACTGGGACTTTCCACGTCCAGCTCCTAGAACCACAAGTGGTGCTGCCCATCCTTCCTGCCCAGGAACTTTCTCTCCTGACCTGCCCAAGCCACTGGCTTTGGTGGCTGCTATTCTCTCTGCCCACCATCCCCCTCCCTCAGCAGCCCCATACTCTTGGCACAGCACAGGCTGCTGGCCCAGAAGCCCTGGGAACATTCCTGACCTTTGCTTTGGTTTCCTCCTGCTTTTGGCAGCTTCTTGCTGGCCTTCTGCGCTCCAGCCCCCAGCCAAGCTGGGTGAAGCATGAAGCACGCCATTGTTCTCACTGCCTCTCGGTCTCAGGCCTACTCCCTCTTTACACCCTTTCTTGGGGAGACATGATGGGTGTCCTCATCTCCCAGGGGTCTGTTGAGAGGCAAGTACCAGCCAGGTTCGGTCCTATGCATTAAGGACTTGACCACCCCTTAGTGCCTTGCCCCATACAGAGAGTCAGTGGAGCCCCTTGGAATTGCTAAGTGGTTGCTGGAGGACTCCCCCCCAAAGACCCCAGACTCAGGGTGACCTTGAGTAAAACCTTCCCCTAGTCCTGGAAAGGTAAAGAAGATTCCTACTCTGGGCCCCTCCCTGGGGATAGGGGGTTGGGGGAGCTGTGGTGAAAGCAGAGACTCTCACAGGGAAGATGCTATTAGCTGGAGTGCCCTGAATTATGCATGTGCTACTTTTTGCTCCTGTAGGACACTTAAGTGCTCTTAACCAACCAGTAAATCCCACTGCCCCCTTAAGTCTTCCTGGAGAGGAAGGGTGCCTTCTTAGGCTTTCTTGCTTTCTGAGACGCTGAACATAGCTGTGAATGTGACCACCTGTGGAGAATTCTGTAGGACTCTGTCTCTGAGCGGTAAAGGGACCTTGGCAGAGAAGCCAGAGAAGCCAGAGGCCCACTCGGCATCACACCTGGAGCCATGGTTCTCTGAGTGTGACTCAGGCCAAGGGTTCGTCTCTGTTCACACCCAGGGCCCTGGGCCTTTAGGAGCAGAAACAGGTGCAGGAGAGCTCTCCCTGGTGGCACAGTGGGTTAAAATGCAGCACTATGAGGCTTCCGCAGCCACTGCAGCCCCAGTTGGATCCCCAGCAGAGGGGTGGCCCACATGGCACAGCAGACCTCTCCTGTCCTGCCCGCTGATCCCCTCAGCAGCGTACTTTGTCAGTAGGCTTGTTCTGCTCTCCACTGTCTCTGGTGAATCTTCTCGCCACTCCTGCACCTCTGGCCTGTGCCCTAGTTCTTGTATGCATAAATAGATAAATCTTTGAAAAAAAAAAAAAGAAAGAAAAAGAAAGCGGTGCAGCTGGCTAAAGACAAGCAGCCTAGGCTTCACCTTGCTCCTGTGACCTCCACCACCTAGGGGACTCCTCTGGGCTCCGAGCTCCCAACTGCAAAAATCCTCCATGCTCGCTGCATGTGGGCCAGGAGAAACTGCTCCTACTGGCAGAGGACTTCTCGGATCTGTAGCTAAGGGGTGTGGGCCCAGATGGGACCCCTCACTTCAGAGCTGTGCGGCCTTGGGTAGCCTCTCCACCCTCTGAACCTCAGGGCTTGTAAAGTAGAAAGAACTGTAGTGGCCTGTCAGCGTTGTCACAGCAGTGCAGAACAGCGGCACCTTGCCAGGGGCTCATCTCTCCTCATCACAAGTCCAGTCCCTTGGGAAAGGAAGTTCAGCTGATCTGTGGAGCCCACATCCTAAATGCAGCTCTCCCCACCCCCACCAATGCCAGAGAACACAAGTACCTTCTCCCTCTGAGGTCCCCAGGGCCCTAGGAAGCACTCAGCTATGCCCTTCTGCCCCTTGGGACCTAGTGGCTATGGGACTACAGCTGCAAAGCACCAACCTGGGCTGTTTGGCCTTGTCCTTTGAAAGGGACTGATCTGGGTCAGTGTCTAGTGGCTGTCCTGGTCCTGGGCTCCAGAAATGGGCCTGAAAAGCGCATGTCAGCAAGGCCTGACTCGGCAGCCCGGCACAGGGGTCTGCCAGGCTCTTCCTGAGTGCCCCGCGCCCGTTTCACCTCCCCTTCCCCTGTTGCAAGAGGGAGCTGGAGTAGCGTTTCCGCCTCTCCCTGCACTGGAGCACTGGAAGCAATCAGCCCAAGGAAGCTGGTCAGGGTTTCCTTCCTTTCCCACCAGCCCCTCTGCAGTCCTGCACAACTTGGGCTTGCCCTGTGGGGACCACGGCTTCCGGGGTTATGGGAAGGAGACCCAGAGAGCTGTGCAACCCCCTGGAGCCCTGAATCCAGGGTTTGGTACACTTGCATGGCATTCCTGGGCCATGGTGCCTTGTCCACACTGCTGGTGCGCTACACACACTGGGGCCACAAACATGGAAGAGGGACCGGGGTGGGGGGCGGGGGGCAGCCCATGAAGACAAGGCCTGCTCTCCCCAAGCTGAGGGAACACAGCCCCTTCCCATGGGCTGTGGGAGAATGAAGGGCTTCTCCTATCTCTTTCCCTTCCATTTGGACCCCCCCATGCTCCCTTTCATCAAAATGAGGCAGGCAGCCCACCAACTGGGCATGAGCTAATGGTTTTGGTCTTGGTTCTGAAATCAGAGACAGATGTACATCAAGGTTCTCCCCCAGGAGTCATGTTCTCTTCCCAGTCCTGAGCAGAACTGGGGTCACGTCTCACTAGGCCCTTCTCCAGCTGACCCTCCCCACACAGACAGCCCCTCCGGCTCTGAGGGTCAGTGCTCATGCTCTGTTGGGAGTGGGTCCAGCAAACACATTCACCTTAAAGTGTCAGAACAGTACAGAACTGCCCAAAACATTGATTCTCTAGGCCAACACTGAGATCAGTCCCTCACAGCCAGGTGGGAGGCTCCATGTGTGTAAGTTGGCCCCCTTTATCCTCCAAATCCTTATAGAGACCCTCAAGTAACCGGTATATGAGGTGGGGGCTGGGGGCAGATATACTGGGTCCGGGGATGCCTCTGAGTGCACCAGGGACCCAGCATAAACTCTGGACTTCGACTCACATCCTGATTGCAGCTCTCCAAGCTGTGTGACTGTGGGCCAGATGCTTAGCCTCTCTGAGCCTCAAGCTTCTCCTCTATAACTGTGGCTACTCGGAGGATTAACATGTGGCAAAGTGCCTGGCCCAGCAAACGACACCTGCTGCTCTAACAGTACAGTATCCTGAGGAGAGACCCTCAGGCCCACACCTTCCCTGCAGGAGGACCCCTGGTCCTAGACAAACAGAACCCTGAAAAGTGGCATCCTGGTCAGAACAGGAGTGTTCTGTGCACATCCAGAGAGGCACTGAAGAATAGCTTGCTTGATGGAGAGGCACTTCTTTTTGTTACAAAGAAAGAGTAGGGCACGTCTCTGCCAGGTTGAGGACTCAGAATCCAGCCCCCAGGAGCAGCCGTCCTCTCTATGGCTGAGCTGGGCTAGCCCATGGGGCTTAGTTTTTAGAACCTACTCACTGTGAACAGCCGGAGCCACTGCCACACCAGCGAAGACTTCCAGAACCGTATCCCCTTAATGCCCCATGCGGGGTAGACAATGGCAAAGAGTGTCCCCCAGGGACTGCCCACCCAGGTCAGTTCTCTGTCAGGCCGGGGACTTCATATGGCTCTTAGCCTGGGGTGCCCAGTCCAGACTGCCTAGGGGCGGTCACTTGAAGGGGAGTTTGGCGCCTGGCACCTCACTCAGTCTCCCAGCTGACCAGCAGGTAGATAATACAAGCCCATCTCACAGATGTGGTCCAGAGAGGCCTTGCTCTGGCTGAACTTAGATTCAGATTTCCATGACAACCTCCCACAAGAATTTCAACCTCCTTACCGTCGAAAGGGGTCGTTGTTGATGTCCTCAGTCTCTGCCCTCCTGGCCCCAGCCTGTCTAGAGTCATGTGGATCAGAGAACCAGGTATCTGAGACCTGAGTCCAGACCCCAGGCAGACCCCAAACTAGGGGTCCCCCGAGACCAAGTAACAGCGTCAGGATCATCATGGCAGTTGGGCAGACAGCCTCAGCGAGTGACTCCAGAAACTGCCAGTCACGTTGTCATGAAGTTAAGTCTCAGAAGGAAAAGAAAGCACAGGACAACAAAGAGAGGAAGTGGCCTGGGCTGGCCCACCCCGTAAGCCTCGTCCGGCCCCTCACCCCACTGCCTGGTCCCCATAGAGGCAGCCGACATCATAGGCAGGTTCCTGTGCTGGAGAGAACTCTGGTCAGGGACACTGGGGGTGTAGGAGACACAGGAAGGTGGCCCCACCATACAAGTGCCTGCGGGAACCTGCTCCCTGGGAGCAGAAGAACACAGCATGGAGGTGAAGCTGCAAGTGGTCTTGGGTCAGTCTCAGGGACCCTTCAGCCCAGTCACACTGGGAAAGGAGCTATCTGAAGTCCCAAAGGGTGTGGCCAGAGGCCAGGGCATAGGCATACCCTTTTGTGCCCCTGCCCACTTCCTCCACAGAGCCTGGTCGGTGGGGGCATCTATGATGCTGACTCTATATCCCCCAGTCCTACATCATCAGGCAGCACAGGTGGTTCTGGGAGGTTGGTCACTCTGGGCTGTGTGTCGCTGACCTTGTCCCCATCTGGAATGCTGGTAGCAAAAGCGCCTCCCCTCTCTTAGCCCTCTCTGCCCAAATGTACAGACACAGAGCCCGAGGCCAGACCGCTTCTGGCCAGAGCTGCCCCTGTGAGGAAAGGGCAGCGAGTGAATGAGGGACCATGATGGGTAAGGGTGCTTCCAGCCCCCAGTGACCCCTCCCGGGAGGGCAGGGGCAGGAGGGGAGGCTTGAGTCAGCGGAGGTCCAAGGGCCCTGCTGCCCCATCCCAGGGGAAGGTGAAGGCGAGAGGGCAGGGTGTCCTCCTTCGCTCTTTCACTCCCTCCTTCCCTACCCCCACCCTGGCTGGCTGGGCTCCCACAGCCCGGCCAGTCGCCGCATCATCAATATTTCATCGTCATCAATAAGAGCAGCAGCAGGGACAGCGGCTGCGGCATTTCTCACGCCAGCTCCAGCCACAGCTTGCCGGCAGTCAGTAACGTCGGGCTCCCTGCCTGTCACCATGGACGTCTTCAAGAAGGGCTTCTCTATCGCCAAGGAGGGTGTGGTAGGTGCTGTGGAGAAGACCAAGCAGGGGGTAACAGAAGCTGCTGAGAAGACCAAGGAGGGTGTCATGTATGTGGGTGAGTCTGGGCGTGGCAGGGCACGCCAGGGCGGGGCAGCTAGTAGCTGAGGGCCAGGGTGCCCACTGGTTTTGAGCCTGGCTCCATATCCCCAGTCCCAGGGAGGAGATGAGGACCTGGCTGTTAAGTTGGGCTCTCCAGGGGGGCTTCTGAGGCAGACAACTGGAGGGGTAGTCAGTCCTCAGACATGCCCACTTGCGCAGACACAAATGCATGCACAAACACACCCCAGCACCTTTCAACCTGGCATCACCCATGCCCCTTAGGCGGGACCAGAGGCCCTTAAGCCTCCTGAGATCAAGTGGGCAGGTGCCCAGGTGGGATCCCCACCCTCCCAGAACCTGTAGCCAGGGTACAGATTCCCATTCTGCCCAGAGAGAAAGAGTGGAGCTGGGGAGGTGAGACTCTTTGTTCTATCCAGCCCCATCCCCCATCAGCTTCCTCAGGAGAGGGGGCTGAGCCGCTGACTCAGCTTTCCTCTACTGTGCTCCAGATGCTTCTGGGGCCCAGGATACACCTGGAGGAGGGGGTTACAGTCGTCTGGACCCTGTCTTAGACCTGGTCTCTCCTGAACCTTCTTCCAGCACTACCCCTATCCTGTCCTGTCCGCTTCCCGCTTCCCGTTTTTTCTTCCTCTTCTAGACACAGCAGGAAGCAGCCTTTGAAAGCCCCCAGACACCATTCACGCCCTACCCACCCTGCCATTCTGTGGTGTGTTTCCCCTCATCACCTTCCTCTCAACTCCTGGAGGAGCAGGTCTGGGCTGACAGCTCCATTTTTTTCCCCCAGGAGCCAAGACCAAGGAGGGTGTTGTGCAGAGTGTGACCTCAGGTGAGGAGCCTGGGATCAGGGGACATGGAGGCTGGGACTTCCAGGGATGCTGCACTCTGGTACCCTTTATCCCTCCTTACCTTACAGTCCATGTCCCAAGCTGTACATGGACACAGACTCTTCCAGAACCTGAGCCTGGATGCAGGATGGGCCTCCTGCTCCCCTGATTAGCATCAGAATTCCCTTGGGCAGAATGGGCCATGGTTTCCAGTAGGCCCATAGTTTCAAATGCCCTGGAAGAGGGGCTGCTCTGGCCTGACTTAAGCAAACCAGGATGGGAGGGGAGGGAGGCAGAACCAAGGCCAGCCAGCGTCCTCCCATAGTGGCTGAGAAAACCAAGGAGCAGGCCAATGCTGTGAGTGAGGCCGTGGTCACCAGCGTCAACACTGTGGCCAACAAGACCGTGGAGGAGGCAGAAAACATCGTGGTCAACACTGGGGTGGTGCGCAAGGTGAGTCTGTGGCTCCCAGTCTGGCTCTCAGACCAGTCCCATCATCTCCCAGCCGCCTGAAGAGGCCAGCCTGGGGGAGGCATTATTACCTGTTCATATGCAGGGAATCAGAGGCTTAGGGGCCCACAGTTTGTGCTTGATGTTTTCATGTATCAATGTCTGAAATCCTCACGTCACAGCTATAAGGGGTGTAGTTTGGGGCCCAGCAAGAGGGAGGATCAAGGCCACACCCTCTTGATGGTGCTCAGCATTCAGGAGTCTAAACATTTACAACTGAGAGCAGGGGCCTGTGGATCCCACATGGTGACACGCAGGGTCTTGGCAGCTGACACCAGGCTCAGCTGCCCAGTGGCCAACTCCAGGGTGCCCAGCCTCCCCTACCCCCACCCCCCAGGGGCCTGTGGTGGGCTGCTTGCCACCTCCCTGGAGAAGCAGGAAGCAGCGCCCTCTGGTGACTGAAAAGCAGTCAGGCTCTGACCCCACCCTCCACCTCCACCTCCCAACTCCCGGTTTGCACGTGTGCCTGTGTGCACAGCAGCAGAAAGCGTGAAAGGAGTGAGGCACTCCCTAGAGGACTGCTGGGGGGAGATGTTCTAGCACCTACCACAGAGTAGACTCTGCCTAAGGCATTATATACTTACTGACTCATTTTAAGCTTTTAATTGTCACGAAATCCCATGAGACTGGGTGTGGAAATGAGGCACAAAGAGATTAAGAACAGTCTCGTGCGTGCCCTGGGTCTCATGACTAGTCTGTGTGAACCTGAACTGCTCATGCCACTGATTTCATGCGCCTACTGTGGGCCAGCCGGACCAGGCAGATGACCCCCTGCCCTGGTAGTTGGCCTGCAGAACTACCCCACTTCTGGCTAATATAGTTGGTGCCTGTTTATGCCCCAGTCCAGGATGGCCTTGTGGTAGCCTGGTGATGGCAGGACCCTCCAGAGGTAGGTGCTGAGACCAGGATCCAGGCTGATCTCCCAGTTTGGACCTGCTCACTATCTGAGGACTCTGTACCCTTTCCATGGTTCTACATCCACTTTGCTCACTTTGCTACCCGACAGGAGGACCTGGACCAACCTGTTCCCCCGGAAGAGGATGAAGCGGCCAACGTGGAAGAGGAAGTGGCTGAAGAGGTAAGAGCTAGGCTCCTGGGCTACACTGTGAGTCCCTGGGCAAGCTTCCCTTCAAAAAGGGCTTTTAGGGTGCCTCCATGGTGTTCCAGGATTTAAAGTCTCAGCACTATGAAACTATTGCCAACCCCTGCAGCAAGAGTTTGATCCCTGGCCAGAGAGCTGGCATACATGCAGACCTCTCCTGTCTTGCCCTAAATATAAAGTTCCCTCACAGAATGACCCCTCAGGTCAGAGGGGTACTGGTCTCACCCCATTTAAGTTGGCCACTGAGCACTGGGACCCCCGAGCTGTGTATGATGATCACCTTCTCTTCCAGACCAAGATGGGAGACTAGAGGACATCCGGTCAGCCATGAAGGCCTCACGGAGCACCCCTTTGCCTTGGACCTCACCCCCTTGTGGTGCGAGGAGTGCCTGCCCTGAAGTGTGAGCTTCAAGGCTGTGTCTGAGCCCACACCCCACACTCACAGGCCTGCCTTTCAGCGCTGCCTCTGCCTCCCAACCTCTGGTCCTTCTGACTCCACAGATGTGGCTGTGATTTTTTTTTTATGATCCCAAATAAAACTTATGTTCCCACCCTGGTCATACCTACTCATACTTCCTCTCTGTGCTACCTCATTCATGACAGAGTCCCTTGGGTCCCTCAGGGAATGCACTGAGCCATACTGTCAATGGGTCAGGGAAGTGGGTTGGGAGCAGGTACACTACAGGTCACCCTGGGCATTTCTTGAATCTGCTAAGAGTAAGTATTACTGTCAGGGACACTCCCCACCCTTCCAGCCACCCACCAATGCCATTTAATGTGGATGAAGCAGTTTTACTTTGGGCTTCCCTAGAGAGCCACCAGGACATTCTGTCTGTAGGGACTTCAAGACCCAGTGCCCAGTGCTCACCCTCTGGATGTGGACCTGACAACAGGAAGTGAGAACTGACCTCTGGGCCTTCATACACTGTGTCCTTAAGGGACCCCCTAACACCCCTCCCTGGTGCAGTCATTTTCAAAGATGTCAAGTGATAAGACCCTGGGGAGGACTCTCCTGGGCAGAGGACACGACCCAGAGCTCCTCCCACCTGGCTCCATCCAGCCTCCAGCTCCCACAGGCTTGGAGCTGGGCTTTCCTCTTCCTTCACCAGGAAGTCCTGTCCAGTGTCATCAGAAAACATGAGCTGAGTTGCAGGATATTAAAACTTCATTTTAGGGTCCTCCCTGGTAGTGCAGCGGGTTAAAGTACAGCACTGAGAAGCTAAAGCCACTTCTGCATGAGTTCGATCCCTGCCTGCCCGGGAGGTGATTCCACATGGCGCGGCAGACCTCTCCTGACCTACCCACTGCTGACCTGCCCGCTGCTCCCCTCAGCAGTGTACTTCGCCTGTTCTGCTTCCCACTCTGTCTCTGGTGAATCCTCTCACCGCCCCTGCACCTCTGGCCTGTACCCCAGCTCTGTATCCATAAATAAATAAATCTTAAAAAAAAAAACTTCATTTTTTAAGAGGAAAATAGTAAAAATGAACATTCATTCAGCTCCTCCCAGGCATCAGATATTGTCCTCACCTAATGTCAGGGCAAATGCCTAATGGGAACAGTTGGTATGATCCCAGTTTTACCAAAATGAACTGAAGAACAGAGAGGGTAAATAACTTGCCCAAAGGCACAGAGCTAGGACGTTCTGAAACTGGGCAGAAAGGCAGGTAGCCTGGCTCTAGACCCACCATCTGATTCCTGGGCTCTGCGACAGACCCCGGGACTGCCTCCATGACAAGTGCCTCGGGAGCTGCCCTCTTCAGATCACGCTCCTTATCTCAGAAGCTGAGTGCTGGGCATCCTTCAGACCATTTAAATCTTTCAATAGCACTCTGTGGAGATTCTGTTACTGACCTGCTTCACCCCATCAAGGATAAGGACACCTTGCCCTCATGAAGAATAGGAGCTGAAGGGACTTGCCTAGAGAATCCATGAGCCCAAGAGATTTGACTCCAGTGCCTGATGCTTTAAAGCTACAGTGAGCAGCCTGCATGTCACCTATTCTGGGCTGGACTCTCGGTGGGACCGAAACTGCTGTTTCCGTGCCTTGTTTTTTGCGCACTAGGCCAGATGCCAAATAGCCCCAGCAGCCAGCAACGAGCTAACTGGAAGAGAGGAAAAGGCCTTCGTAGCTAAAGGGATTCTAGTGGAATATCAGGTGGGCTAGTGGGCACACGGCTGGGCAGTGGTTCCCCACGGTTTACGCGTGCCTTGTGCTCTGGACAACCCCGAGCCCGGGTCTGAGCCGCAGGGCGATTGCGCTGGGGTGGCGCCGAGTGAGGCAGCTGCTTTGTTGGTCGGCCCTGGGCGGTCCCGCCCTACCCCTACCCCCATCCGTTCCTAGGGTTGACCTTATCTCCACTAATGCGTTCCATGTTTCACATCACACACACACGCACACACCAGTTGGCAAACTCCCTCCACTAGGGACGCACCCGCCTAGTGTTCTCCCCCCACCCCACCCCCACCCGCGTCCTTCCCAACCCGCCCCCATCCAGCAATTAGATGCAGGCATAGGCAGGAGGGTGCTGCCCAGAGCTCCTGAATAGGAGAGATCCCAAAAGATATGCAGCGGCAGTCCCGGAGAGGAAGAAACAGAACAAGATCGGAAAGTGTGCGATGCCGCTTCTGAAAGCCGGACTCCGAAGTGGGAGCGGGTGGGCTGGGGGGTCGATCAGGGCCCATGAGTGTCCAGACGCTGTGCCTTACTGGTTGTTTTGCTCTCCCTAGGATACCTGGCTCCCCCACTCACGTGCAGGTCTCTAACCCCTCACCTCACCGCTGCACCACCTCGCTCCCCTCCGTCACCGAGCCGGGCACCCCTTCTCGGAGGTGACCTTAGCGCTCTGCAGGCTTGGCCGCTCCCCTCTTAGCTATGTGGCCTGAGGTGTGCTCCTGCCCTCTCTGAGCCTTATGTCCCGCCTAACTAGCAGGGTTTAGGTGGTGGACATCGTGCTCACAGGCACTGCTCTCTCCATTACCCTCCCCCTCGGGATATATGATTCCCAGGGGGACACGCCCTGTGACTCACCCTCCACTGCAGGGGAATGATTTACCCCATTCTCCCAGTTCGGGTGGGGTCTCGGGGCGGTGGCAGGGCAGATGGCTGAGAGTGTGGGATGCTCCCCTGGAGATTGTCAAGGCTCCTGGGCTTTACAGCCCACCAAAGGGGATTCCAGTCCCTGCCATGTGAGTTTAGGTGAAATCGAGTTCATCCTTCTGTGCCTCAGTTTATTCCTGTAAACTGATAGCATATAATTCTCCAAGTTGTTGTAAAGCTTACACAGGAGGCTGTAAAGCCTTGCAGCAGTGCTGCTCAGTGAAAGGCAATTGCTATTATTTTCAACTCCAGTCTTGAGATGACCTCGAGGTCAGGAACAGAAGGCAGTCTAGCCGAGTTTGGGAGATGTGTGCCTCTCCTGCCCACAGCCCTTCTCTGGATCCCTGACCGGCTCTTCTGCAGCCCCTAGCTCCTCTTTGGAAACTCATGGCCCCCTCTGCGTGTGCCCCCTTCCCACCTCTGCCAGCCTGAGGCCAGGATGTGCTGGAGGTTGACAGAGTCTGGAGCAGGGCCCAGCCACTCCCCTGAGCTTGTCTGCCAGGAACCGCCCTGCCCCCCCCCCTTGGTCCCCCGCAGGGCGGGCCGGCCCTGGGGCGCCTTAAAAACCGTAGCTGATGCTCCAGTTGAGTGGTTCTGTGAGCAGAGTTCAACGTTGCTGCTGCCATCCTTGACAACCTTGAAAAACACCACAGCTATGGCCAACAAGGGACTGCCGGACCTCAAGAAGCAAGTGGAGGGAGCTGCTCAGGAAGCGGGTGAGGACAGGGGGCATCCCCGGGCCAGGCCCTAGCAGGGCGCACTGGGGCAGAAGCCACTCGGGTTCGTCTCCCCTGAGAGGCAGGGACCCTAAAGGATGCTTGCTCAGACAAGGTCAGGGGCTGTGATCCCTAAGGGAACTGGAGAAACTGCTGTGCCTCCCCAGACTACAGAGCATCGCCAGAGGCTGTGGAGGAGGCTAGCAGTGGGAGTCTCTGCCGCCTGCCTCCCTTGTAGTTACCCCAGCCAGGTCCTGAGGGGAGGGAGGAGGTCCAAGGAAAGAGTATAATCCTCAGGACTCTGTCTCACTGAGGTCCACCTCTGCCCATGTGGGTGAGGGGCACTGGATCTGTCAAGGGGGGGGAAGTAGCTATGAATGCCCCACTGGCCTTGGTTTTGAGCCTGACTCCTTCCCACTTCCTCCAAAATAATTGTGTCCTTACAGTCCCTCACCCAGAGGGCCTCACCCCCTGCAGGGGAGGTCCCCAGCCTTATTTTTTTTCTCTTCCTCAGACCTGAGTTGACCTGGTTGGGAAGGGGTTGATGGGAGGGGGCAAGGAGGGTGAAGAGACCCCAGGCTTACCAGCATCAGCTTCCAGTGCCCAGCTCAGCATCCGTTGGGATTACAATACCCAATCTGTCCCGCACACATCTTGGTCAACAAACACCCAAGCCCCCTCCTTGACAGTCCCCCAGGAAAAGCCCACAGTTACCACTCAAACTAAAATGTTACCAGGAAGTCTACAGGACCCTTCCTTCTGGGCCACACTCTCCCATCTGTAACCTTTTTTGTGGTCCTGCTGGCTATACCAGAGAAGAACCCCAGAGGTCTCTATAAGCAGCAGATCCAGAGTCTGCTTGACCCCCTTCTGCAGGCCCTTTCCTGCTCAGCAGCAAGGATGAGTCAGACTGGACTCTCCCAGTCCAGAGTCACCTGTCTGCCTGGAGCCCCTGGGAAACCTATTCCCACAGGCACAGAGTGTGGCACAAAGAAGGCTTGACTTTGGAAGGCACCTCCTTTCTTTTTTATTTATTTATTTATGTATGTATGCACACAAGAACTAGGATACAAGCCAGTGGTGTGGGGTGGGAGTTGGGGGTGTGTGTGAGAGGATTCACCAAAGACAGAGTGGGGAGAAGAACAGGTGGATCCACTGAAGTACACTGCTGAGGGGAGCAGTGGGTGAGTCAAGAGAGGTCTGCCGTGCCATGGGGTTCAGGTCCCTGGCTGGGGATTGAACTTGTGCCTCAGTGGCTGGGGACAGCTTCATAGTGCTGCATTTTAACTCTCTGCACCACCAATGTGGGGGGAGGTGGAAGACACCTCCTGTCTGCACCTGTTTCCTAATGCTGTAGGCTGTTCACCCTTAGAGGCACTGGCATCTTTACTCATTGCCCCCTGGAGACAGACACAGGAGGGGAGGTAATGAGAGGGCCTTGAAATGTTTGGGGCCTCAGTGGCCTGTGGATGCACTAAAAGTGGGAATTCAGGCTTCTGGGGAGGAGTTACTAACTCAGGGGGGCCTGGTTTTTCCTGTGCCATGCCCAGCAGCAGCCACAGCAGATGCCAGCTCCAGCTTGGCCTTGCCCTGCCTTCCTTCCTCTGAGGCTCATTTTCTCACAAACCTTGAGATGGGAAGAGAAGTAGGCCAGAAGGGAGGTGCCCAGAGTCTATAAATAAACAATTCCCCAGAGGCATGGAAAGGGCTCTTGCACCTCACTGGCTGTGGTCAAGAAGCCTTACCTCAAATGCTACTGAGAAAGAATACTCTAGGGCCAATGGGGGGACAGCTAAGGTGGACCCCTGTGGTTGATGGTGCCTCACAGGAACTAAAGGTCACATTTCTCTTTTCCAGTGACTGCAGCAGGAGCCGCGGCAGGAGCAGCAGCCCAGCAAGTGATGGATCAAGCCACAGAGGCGGGACAGAAAGGTCTGGTGGTCTGGTGGTCTGGTGGGGCTGGGGAGAGGAGAGCAGACAGCAACTCTGTCTCATCCCATCCTGTCCTTGCACAAACACGTCCTCTACTCTGCCGCCCCTCTGCCCAAGTTGTCTGGAGGCCACTCCCTGGGCCTAACCCTGCAGGGTTCTGGTTCCCGGGTCCCACCCTCACCTGCCCTTTCCTTTCTTCCCTAGCCATGGACCGCGTGGTCAAGACTACGCAGGAAACCGTCGACAAGACTGCTAACCAGGCCTCTGAGAGTTTCTCGGGTTTCGGGAAAAAATTCGGCCTCACCAAATGACAGGAAAGACTTGGGTGACTCTCCTCCAGGCATGCCCCCCGTCGTTGGCCGCTCCTTGGGCTTGCCACCTCATTAAAGCACATACTCCTACCGCGTGTCCTTGTCCTCCCTCCTTCTTCCCTGCCAAATGCAGAGCCCATAAACCCCAAACCCAGCCCCATATGCAGCGTCCTAGAACTCAAATTCGGAAACCATAAGGTCAGTTCAAGAACTCGGTTCCCAGCGTCTCCACTGCCCCTAGCTCGGTTCGCGTCTCTCCTGCGCTCAATTCAGTAACCAGCTCCAGCCCCCCATTCCAAAGTCGCTCCCTCCGTTCCAGAAACCCCACCCCTCCAGGGAGGCAGAAATTCAGCTCCCACATTTGTAGGGGCTCAGTTCTGGGTGCGGGGGTGGGAAGCACGCGGAGTTTCCTGGGTCGTGGACTCCGGAACTTCTCCCAGGAGAATGGGAGCATCAGGGCATTTCACAGCCCGACGCCCGCGAGCACTTCGACGCGGAGTCACAGGAGCCGGGCTTCCGGCCACTGCTTCTCCACCCCGCGGGGATCTGTGCGATCGCCGCACCGCCTGAGTCACCCGGCCGGGAGGACCAGGCGAAGCCGCGCCCAGAGCCCCGCCACGCCCCGGCTACCGGCAGTTTTGTGCGCCGCCGCGGAAAGAAGCCCCGCCCGGGACACGCCCCCGGGGCGGGGCCTACGGCGCACGGGGCCGTGCTCGTGGGGGTGAAATTCTGGGAACCCCGAAGTGTGCGTGCGCGGATCTGTGCGGGAGAGCCCTCCCGGGGGCACCCTGACGCTTCCGGACGCGCCAGAACTTTCTGTTCCGCGACCAAGGCCGGCGTCTTTGTCAGGCCAGTCCCTGGTGGGGGGGTCGGCGGCTGCAAACCCATTCCACCCCCTCCAGCACGTTTCCACGCACGCGACGCCGGTCCTGGGTACGCCCTGTTGGTGGGTGACTCACTGCTGCCACAGAACGAGCCCCCGCCCTGGCGCCGGGCGCTGGCTCCCGGGGCACCCTTTATCCCCAGCCACACCTCGCTGTTGACGCCCCGTTCTTCCACTCCTCCGCACCTCTGCACACGTTGTTGTTCTTCAGCACATAATGATCTTGTACTCGTCTGGGCAACACATACATAGTCATCACGTTTCAATTCACAAATATTGATTACAGGGCACTTCCCAGTTCTGAGGTGACAGGAAAAAAAAAAAAAACAAACCCTCCTCATTCCTTCCTTGACCTACTCGAGGCTGGCTTCCCAGGAGGTCTCCTACAGCCTACCAGCAGGGGACAGTGTCACATCCTCCCAGCCTAGGTCTCGCTGTGCGTGGCATCTGCTCACGCGACTTTTCTCTTCCCCCTTTCTCTTCCCAGACTGAAATTACCTCAATAATTCTCGCAGTCCCCTGCATTTCCCACCCTCACCCTAGGGCTGAGCCCAGTTATGCTAGGTTCCTCTTGTTAACTGTCCCCCAAAGGAGAAATCCTTCACTCTGCAAATGCAAAATCACCCAAAATAGGTCAGTTGAAGATTCCTGCATCTCCGGAGCCCCTGCCTTGGGGAGAGGACGCCAGGGCTGGGGGGCTGGGAGGCAGTGGGGCTGGACTGCCGGAGCCTTCACCTCCTCTTGGTGTGCATTCATCTTCTGTGAGATGTGGGGGAAATCATCACTGGCCCCAAAATGCCTCATCTTGTTCTCCTTATGAGTGATTGTCTTTGGAATGAGGGTTAGACCCAGCTCCAGCCAAAGAGAGGAGACATAAAGTTTGAGACCCAGAGGGCTCCTAAGAAAAGGGCTTTTCCTTCTTAAAAAAAAAAAAAAAAGCTCTATACAGGGACTGGGGTACAGGCCAGAGATGGAGGGGTATAAGAAGATTCACCAGAGACAGAGAGGGGAGAACAGGCAGATCTACTGAAACACACTGTTCAGGGGAGCAGCCGAGAGACAGGAGAAGTCTGCTACACCACATGGGCAGCTCCCTGGCTGGGAATCAAACTTGTGCTGCAGTGTCTGCGGATAACTTCATAGTGCTGCGACTTGTAAAAGTTAAAAGAAATTAAGAGACAGTCCCTCCTCTTCCACTGGGCATTTTCATGGCTAGAAATGATGCTTAGAATGAGTGTAGCCCCTTGTAGCTGCAGGAGGAACGAGCCTAAAAAAAAAAGTCAATTTATGATTAGGGCAGTTAAGATGAGATGAAAGAACCTGGTGCCTGGATTACTTTTTTCAGTCTCTAAATTAGCCAACCCTGCAACTGTCACACAGGTAAGAGGATGCAGTTTCCTCTTTGAGCCACTGTGAGTTAGGTTTTCTGTTGCAAACAAAAGCTTCAGCGCTCTCCATGTTACCTGGATGCCAAGGTCCCATACTTGTGGGCTTCACTCATCCACCCCCCCTCCCCTCTCTGCCTCAATGGCTTGCACCTTTCTTCATTTCTCTTAATTTCATGCTCCTGCCTGCCTCAGGGTCTCTGCATAGCTCTTCTTCTGGGTGGAATTCTCTGCACTGCCCTCCCCATCCCCCAAACTACCCCTCTTGGAGAGGCTTGCTTTCACATGTTTCAGGAGTTGGCTTCTCTGTCCCCTACCCACCCCCACCCCCACACTGAAAATGGGCATTGCCACTGCTAAGTCATTCTTACATCCCCTGTACTTCTTTTCCACAATTTCACGGAATGAATCACTTTCCTGTGTACTTCTCTGGGGTGGTTGTCCATGAGGCTGAAGCCACGTCTCCCATACTGTTCAGTGCACACCCAGTGCCTAGGGAGGAGCTCTGGCAACATCTGCTAGGAAAGTGCAGAATGACTGTTCTCTGACTGGATAACAATGAGTTCAAGAAGTGCCAGCTTCACCATGGTGCCATCTCTTCAATGCAGTTTTTTATTTTAACAGCTGATGATTTTTTATATCGTTTTGAAGTAGGATTTGGTTAATGGACAAACTTCTCTATGGAAGTAGGAGACCATAAGTCAAGTCACTCCTGTTCAATGACAAACAGACAAGCAGACACCAACTTCGGCTGAAAGCAGATGTTCACTTTGATCTGCAGAAACCTATCCAGAAATAAACAAGGGTTCACAACTTGCACACCGTTTTCTTCCTAAGATTTATTTGTGTATGCATGCAAGACAGGGGATACAGGCCAGAGGTGTGAGGGGTGAGAGGACTCACCAGAGACAGAGTGGGGAGCAGAACAGGTGAATCCACTGAAACACACTGCTGAGGGGAGCAACGTGAGAGACAGGAGAGGTATGCTTCTCCATGTGGGTCACCTCCGTGGCTGGGGATCAAAGTCATACTGCTGTGGCTGGTGATAGATTCATAGTGCTGAGACGTAACCCTTTGCACCACCAGGGAGGCCCACTGTGCACAGCAGAAATTCAATGCTTTTGAATGACACCGAAATTTCTCCTTGTGGAAAGAAAACAAGTTTTAAAGGGGGCACAAGTTGTATATACAGTTGACAAAGATCAAGTTCTCTACTTCACTGCATAATTTTCCATTTAGGCGTTCTGGTAAAGGCAAAGCTTTTGAACAGTGCAAAGCAATCTGTAGTTGGCAGCCTGTCCTGCTTCAAAAAGAATCAGAAAATGCCTTCCATTTGCTATTTCTCCAATACTCCACAAGGTGAGCAGTAAACAGCACAAATGCCATTGCCAAGTTTTCGTCAGTGCAGTCCTTCACACTTTGTGCAGCTGGTGTTCCTGTGGCACCATGCACTTGCCTATCTCTGTGTACCCTTATGCCCCCAACACCTTGAACCCCACGGGGTATGACCAGATTGGACTTGAGTTTTGCTTTCTGCTTGGAACACAGTGGACATGGTGTCAGTGTCGCTCACAGAAGCCTATGGGAGCCCAAGTCTGTCTCCATGATGTTCAAGAGACTGGTTGACTCCTCCAGCTGAGGAGAGAAGCCTGCGGTCCCTGCCCCTGATGGATCTCCAAAGATCAATTTTTCTATTGGTAACTCCACAAATAATTTCTGTTTCTCCAAATCCCAGTTCCCCAACTAACTGGGCACAAGGTCATCACTAAGATTACATTTGGCTCTCCTTAACAAATGATTACATTTGCAGGTGGAGGACTTTCCCTTAAATAAATCTCTTTGGATGGTATCCCTCCCAGCCTCCCATCTTCCTTTTGAACTACCCCCCATTTTTAGTTAAAAGAAGGGCACTACTTTAAATTTATCCCTGTGCTTGGATACACACTGAAACATCTACCACTTGACTTCTCAGCTCTGATTACCATAGAAATAGAGGTGAGATAAGGGATAGAATTTTCTTCCTTCCACTTTCTCCCCCTAAACCCTGCCATTTTATTTTCCGTTGTTGATTTTGGCTGTCTCATTTCAACTCTGTGAAAACATGTAGCATTTACATTCCATTCCTCTAAAGTGAACCACACCTTTATTTTTGTCTTAGATTGCAACTGAAAATATTAAAAGCTCTTTTTACCATTCCTTTTGATAAGATATTTTCTACTCTCTTTGATTGAGGGGAGTTAGTCCTCTAGAGTTAGCAACTGAAATAACTTAAATTTATTTCAACTTACTGTTAAAATACTTTAAGTGGGCCCTCCCTGGTGGTGCAACGGTTTAAAGTGTATTTAGTTAAAGGTTTATACATTTTATTTAGTTAACTATGCTGATGCTAATTCCCTGATTCTGATCACAATGCAGTGGGTATATAAGATGTGACCATCAGGCCCTCCCTGGTGGCGCTAATTCCCTGATTCTGATCACAATGCAGTGGGTATATAAGATGTGACCATCAGGCCCTCCCTGGTGGCGCAGCGGGTTAAAGCACAGCACTAAGAAGCTAAAGCCACTTCCGCATGAGTTGGATTCCTGCCTGTCCTGGAGGAGATCCACATGGCGCGGCAGACCTCTCCTGACCCACCCGCTGCTCCCCTCAGCAGTGTGCTTCGTCCATCTGCTGTTCTGCTCCCCACTCTGTCTCTGGTGAAGCCTCTCACCGCCCCTGAGCCTCTGGCCTGTACCCCAGTTCTGTATGCGCAAATAAATAAATCTTAAAAAAAAAATAACATGTGACCATCAAAGGATTCTGCATGAGGAAGATATGGAAGCCACATTATTTTTTTGCAATTCAGTTCATGTTGGGTTGAAAGAGAGAAACCCACCCTATCATTCATAAAACACTCGCAGTTGTGTGATATTAAGGCTGCTAGGAATTCGAAGCTGAAATCTGCAGCGGAGCGTCCCAGACATCAGCAGGTTATTCCTATGGAGAATTAGCCAGGCCCCTTTGCTCCGGAGTTTGCTATTCTCCCACAGAAGTGCTGACTCCTTGGAGTTGTGACCCCCTGCTTCTCAGAACACTGCTCCCTTTGGGAAGATCCACAGGTAGCCCTCCTTCCCCAGCTGTGGCCCCAGGGATTCGTCCTTGCCTTTCCAAAGGTTTGCTTTTCTCTGGGAAAGTGGAACTCAGATCTGGCTGGCACCTCTGGATTTCCTTGGGCTTCTTCCTCTTCTCTCTTCACCTCTTCAGGACTTAGTACTGCATGAAAGCACTGTCTCTCAGAGGCGCCTCTTGGAAGTGAGTGTTGCTGTAACATCTGACACCCCCACGACTATTCCCGCCCCACCCCTGCTCTTCTGCATGGCGTATTCACCAGTTGGCTGTGCTGGCCTCACCTGCTCCGGATTTGCATGTCTTTCCAGTATCCAAGTTTCTTTGAAGTTAAATTTGACGTGCAGTTTGGTGGTGGGCTTTTCTTGTATTCCATACTCCATAGTTTCAAGAGGGAGAAGTGGGATTATTGCAATTAAGCTGCTGCCTGGTTACTACCAGTCCTGAGGTCTGGCAGGTGGACTCGGTTTCTGTCTTTACAGAGAATCCACCTCTACTTTCCACATGCTCCTCTCTGCTCTTGCCCTTGAAACCCTGTTGGACTCCTTCACCTGGGCTCCCTCACCCACCACGGGCCCTGGGTGGGTTCAGTCCATGGGGGACATCAGTAGAAGCTTGTTTCCCCTCTCTTTTTGCTGGGCAGCTCCAAACCCACTACCCTCCCCTATAGACCTTGGGGTCTACGGTCCATCCCCTGCTCCTGCCAGCCCAGGAAGGCAACAGCTCCCACTTGCTGGTGTCTGGGTGCCTCACCGCCCTTCATCAATTCCCTCAAGTCTGGCTACACCCTTGTGAATAGTCCCTTTGCTCAGCACTCCTTTGATGTGCCCTCTGATTTCTGACCCCCATGGATATACAAGTGCTGACATGTTGGGGAAATCTTCTTTGGTGACTGACTAACCACGTCTCCAGGAGTTTGGACTGGCTCCCCTGTGGCTGGGCGGAATTGGCGTGTGCAGGATATGTGGCTCCAATATATGCTGTGCACTCAAATCCATGAGGAATGAGCATGGGAGAGCAGAGGTAGGTGGGCAGTCATGAAACTTGGCATTCATGACTGCACTCCAATCACACAAGGCATCGTCATGCTTTGGCTATAAGATAGCACTAGTATTTAAGTACTTAAAATACCCCCCCCCCCTTTTTCACAATTGGTAATTGCTAACTTGGCAAATTGCTATTTGAAAAAGTGACTCTCTTTGGCTTGATGATGCAGCAAACTGGTCCTTTGCCAAATTGGATTGTTGGGAAAATTCCACTGGGAGGATTAGTCTGCTCCTGTCAAGACTCAAGTCTCCCTGCCCAAGGGCTGGACTTCTGACTCAGGATGGGCTGACATGGGTGCCTGGGTGCAAGGGACCCAGCATAGACCAGGGTTCCTCCTAGATGGAATGGTTCCCAACAGAGTCATCCTCATCCGTAGAGGGTGAGTTGTCCCAGGTTCTTTGACTAGAAAGAACTTAGTCCTCAGAGACTCATGGATTCAACTGAGAGAACAGGGAACTGTCACAGCTGGAGCTGGAATGCCAAGGGGCCTGGACCTGAGCCAGAGAGCCTGTCTGGGGCACACATCTGGTCCTAGGAAGCTTGGCCTCCCTAGGCCTCTTGCCTTCTCCTATCTGGCATTGAAGTCTGTGTCTGAACCTAGCCTTGCCAGCAGACCCAGGCCACGGTGTCACTGGGGCCAGGGGTTGGGGACATGGGTGAGAGCAGTAGCTGCCTGTTGGTGCAGGTGAAGTATAGCCAGAGACTGTAGGAGGCAGTGTGCTCTGTGTGCCAGAGGCCTGCCGAGTGACTGAGTCCTGACAAGGGCCTGCACTGGACTGGTGAACTCCTGAGAGGAGGGAGACTGTGACAAGCACCTCAGGGAGGTCCTTCTCTCTGTCATTGAGGGTCACATGCTCCACCCCTCTGGTTCCAAGGTGACTCATGCCCCCATCACTCTTAGGCCCACCGTCTGGTTGGTCAGGGCTTCCTGATATGTGGGGCAGACATTTACTGAGAGCTCATGTGCATGATTTTCAATGGGAAGACATAGTTGTCCCCATTTCATAGATGAGGAAACTGAGGCTTAGTTGGGCTAGTGACTAAAGGAAATGGCATGTGGCAGGTGACTTGAGATATCCCTCTCTATCCTGAGAGACTAAGCAGGCAGCCTGGTCCCCTAAGCTTCCGATGCATCGGGGCTGATAGGGCCACTTTCTGGAAATTCTTTCTAAGGCCAGAAGACTTTCCTCTAGTAGTGGCGGGATCCTCTATCAACTCATCTAGGACCTCCCAGAAGGCACTGCAGACCTCACAATGCCTCTCCAAGAGGCCAGGTCCTGAGAGGTCAGGCCCCAAGGAGCAGGGAGGGCCAGATCCTTCACATGCTGCCTGCCCCACTTAGGCCACTCAGGTGAGCCCCACTTAGGCCACTCAGGTGAGCCGGCACATGAGAAGCAGCTGACTTCCAGCCAGAGATAACTGCTCTTTAGTGCGGTGTCTTCCTTTGCCCTGGGCAAGGCACAGCTCAGAGACCAGGTCTGACCTGCCCAATGGAGGTGCTCTACAGAGTCCAGTCCTTGGGAATGGGTAGGGAAGCAGTTCCTTCTCCACTTGGATTCCAGGCCTGGGAAGTTGCCAGGGCCTCAGGCCCATAGAACTCCCAAACCTCTGACTAGAGCGACCTGGGTTCCCTAGACAGCAAGCTGGACATCCGAGGCCTATTTAGAGGTGAATGAATGCCCAGGCTATGGGAAGGTTGTGGTACAGGGTGGCAGCTGCGGCTGCTGTCCCCAGTACCTGTCATCTCACCAGACATTCAGGCTGCCTCCCTTAGGGGAGAGGTATGTGTAGACACTGACCTCTCTGCCAAGTGTCAGTCCTGCTCCCTGCCCCTGCCCATCCTGGGGTCCCAGCATAAGGTCTGTGAGGATCTCAGGCTGCCAGAGGGATGTGCCTCAGCCAACTAGTTGGGGTGGCCCCACCCAAGCTCTTCCTCCTGTTGCCTGAGCACTGACTCACAACCCAGCCTCCCACTGGCAAGGGCGAGGGCCCGTGCCCTAAAGCCCAGTCAGAGGCATCTATAAAAGCACACTGGTCCAGGACTTGGCATCCTGCTTGACTGCCACCTGCTCTGCACAATGCTGGGAGGTCTGGGGAAGCTCGCTGCCGAGGGCCTGGCCCACCGCACAGAGAAGGCCACTGAGGAAGCTGGTAAGGCCCCAGTTCCTTTCTTACCTCGGTGTTTCCCTCAGGCCAGGCGACGGGGCCCATCCAAAGCCGATCCCAGCTAGCTGGGGCAGGTCCTAGCTCCGTGGGGAACCCTGACTGACTAGGACAGGGTAGAGGTAGGGAATTGGGAGGATGAGGAATGTGGATGGAGCGATGAGGAGCCATGAGGCCCACTGCCTCCAGCAGCCCTGCCTCTGTCAGACCCGTGCTGCCACCCTGTTGCTGGGGCCTGGGGCAGAGCCTCAGTAGGGAGGCCAGCCCAGAAGAGGCCCCTGGGGCATGGGGGGGGACCCTGGGTGCTGGGTGGGCAGTCAGCCTCTTGAATCTTTCCCTCTGGAAACCCGGGGAACCTCTTCTGAATCTCCTACACAGAAAAGAGAGGTCGATTTTAAATTCTACCCTAATTTTAAAGCTTCATAGATTTCTCCATTAAGAAACTACTAAGTCTGAATCCGTTCAAAGTCTGTCCCCAGGGTTTATACAAAGGGCATTTTCAATTTCTTCAGAGTTAGCAGAAACCTCTTTAGTATGCTAGGTCAGTAGCTGTATGCAGGGAGGCCAATCCAGTTTCCAAACCTGTTGGACACTTTGTACAAAATGACTTGTGTCCAAGGTCCCTATTCTCTTTCTGAAAGACCACCAACATATCTGTGTTTCCTTTAACAACACTGTGGCTGGTGTTGACTGCCCTCTTTCATCTTTCACCAGCCCAGAGTTCTATATTCTTCCCATTCTACAGATGGGGAATCAAGCTCTGGAAGATGGAGTTAGAATCAGAACTAGCTCTGACTCCAAAATCTTCCATTTCCTGCACATTACACCCAAATTTTAAACAACCCCTAGATGGGAGCAAGGTGTTCTCTTCCCGAAGCAATTGCTTTGGAGGACTTGGTTTTGCTGGAGGGGACTTTGGGATTCAACCTCTTCCACCTGCTTCCACTTGGCCTGCAGCAGGGCAGCTTATTACCTGGAGGGTGTGGTGAGCTGGGAAACAGGTCCAGCCTGGGCTTCAGGTCCCCCGTCGACAGGAGGGCCTGCTTTTTGGCATTCTGGACGCTGCCAGGCCAGGGGCCATGGAGGACCTAGTGCCCTTACCGGGCTCACTCAATTTGTCTCCTGGAAACCAGGCCCCGCAGGGGTCTATAGAGAAGCCAGCTCTGAGATGTTCTCACAGCCAGCCAGTCCTGGGTGGGGGAAGGGCATTCCAGAGCTGTTTGGGCCTCTCGGTGAAAAGAAGCTGCTTGCCTGGTGCTCTCACTCTGGACTTGTCTCATCTTCACAGTTCACACCGTGGAGGGAATGGTGAAGGAAGTGGTGGAGCACGCCAAGGAGGCTGGAGGGAAAGGTATTACTGAAGCTGGGGCTTGGAGGGAAGGAAGGAAGCCAGAGGCTGGGTGTGTGTGACCTGTTCTTGACCTAACCAGGTCAAACTCTGATCCTGACATTGCATCCCTCTAGCCTCTGCTGGCACACAATTACTGTGCTCATCAAGGCAGCAGGCCGTACGTTGCTAAAGTAGGGCCATTTCAGACAGTTGTCTCCGTGGAATGTTATGAAGATCGTGTCACAAAAGACTATGTGGCAGCAAAGCATTTAAGACATAAAAATATATATTTATATAAACACAGGTTTCCATGTATTTAGGTATGTGTGTGTGAATAGAACTATGTAAAAAGCCTACGTATACCTCATTGATTATACAATATATTCCTCATGGATCAAGAACATTAATGCATGACATGATTACACTGTTTGAAAAGACCATAGGTGTAATCTGGGAGGAGGAGCATTTTAACTATGACAGAAAACCCAACAGCCATAAAAGAAACATTAGATAATCATGACAATATAAAGCTTCACACTTTTCCATATTAAAAAAGTCTTCCAGGCATCTCCCTGGTGGTGCAAGGGGTTAAGCACTATTAAGCTACTGTCATAAAAAATAAAAACAGGACCTTCCCTGGTGGCACAGCGGGTTAAAGCACAGCTCTGTGAAGTTATCATAGCCACTGCAGCATGAGTTCAATCCCTGGCCAGGGAGGTGACCCACATGGTGTGGCAGACCTCTCTTGACCCACCCACTGTTCGCCTCAGCAGTGTATTTCAGTCAATCTGCCTGTTCTGCTCTGTCTCTGATGAATCCTCTCACCCCTCTCACCTCTGGCCGGCACCCCAGTTCTGTATGCATAGATAAATCAATCTTTAAAAAAATAAGCAAAAACAAAAATGTCTATAGGCCAAGCCAAAAGAAAGACCACAGACTGAGGAAAAATATTTGTACTAGACATGATAACCCAACATGACCAAAATGACCAAAAGATATAAGCAGGCAACTCACAAGAAGGACCTAAACATTCACGAGCAATGCCTGCTCAGAACTGAATACCGCAGATGCCTTCCCCAAGGGCTCCGCTGCCCTCGGCCATGCACCATCCGACATCCCAAAGGCCAAGGTGACCGAAGTCCAGCATGCAACGTCACAAGTCTACTCACGGAGACATTATTTTTTATTCCCAACAGTTGTTGCTGACGCCCTAAAGGCGGCCCAGGAGAAAGGGGACAAAGTGGTGAAGGATGTCACTGAGACGGTGACCCACACAGTCTCAAGTGCTGTCACCAACGCAGCTGAAGGCCTGGGCAAACTGGGGCAGGGGGCACGCCCGGCCGACTCTTCCTGAATCTCAATAAAAAACTGTGACATATATACCCTGACCTCTGGATTTATTCCTGTTTGGATGGGAACACAGCCGTGTCCTGAGTGTGCACTTGCAGGATGGGGGGGGCAATATGTTGGCACCCCACAGGGTCTGGTAGGTCCCAATGATTAATCAGATGTGCGGGTCTGGCATTAAGATTTTTTAAGTCAGCAAAGGGCGCTTCAAGAATTACTAATACCTGTGCTACATTTCCTAAAAGGTTATTTTCCCAGGAAGTATATATAATATTTATATTTATCTAATATATAAACTATATAGATTTCAGACACCTCAAAACTTCAAGATACTCCAAGGAAGGACCAGACTTTTCTCACAGGTTCTTTGAGTTTTCCTTGTTTTGTTCTTACAGGACTGACCTGACTGAGAGGGCAGGGTCACACTGAGAGAGTTCATGCTCTGAAGGCTGCAGAGCAGCTTTTCTACAGGACAGTGGCAGCTGGGGTCAAGGAGGAATGGAGTCTGCTGCCTGTTGGCTGCTGCAGCCATTTTTTCCGTCTTCAGTTGGTGCTTGTGTTTGTCCTTAGTGGGAGTGAGTGGTAGGGCGGGAAGGCCAGCGCTTCTCTCCTCCCAGGTGTGAGTCAGCACCACAAAGTTTAAGCAAAAGATTGAGTAACATTTAGCTTAAAATTTTGGGTTGTAAACGGAATGATTTGTAAAGATATGGACAGCATTGCTTGTTTAGCTTACCAGAAAGGTGGCAGTAGTGTAAACTCTTTGGATGGTAATTCCTTTGACCAGAGTTTATTCCTCAGGTGTGCACAGGTAGATACAGAAGACCAAAGGGTGAGCGCATAGGTTTATTGAGGCTGTTTGTAATGGAGAAAGATTGGACACCTTACAATGCTCTTGGAAATTATGTGCATGGGAAGTTTTGCTCCTCAGGTTTGGCACACAACAGAATTGGGACCTGTCACATCTAGTATACTGCAATGCCTGAACTGTAAAAATGACACCTCGGCCGAAATAGTCACCAATGGGACCAGTTAATAATTACTGCATATATATGAAGCAACATCCTCCATGATTGTCAAAAGAATGAGGGAAATGTACACATATATGGGAACATAGCCAAGTTATTAAGTTGCAAAATACATATACAGGATCAGTCCCTTTTTACAATGCAAACATATAATCATAGAATAGAAAAAAATTGGTAGCACATACATAGCAAGTGAAGTGTTCATCTCTGAGTCTGGAACTATAATCATAATTTTGGAATCACAATTTTCCATTTTACTTATTTCTATGATGTTTGAACTTAAGAGAAAACCAATGCAGATATATTTAAAATGTGGTGATGGAGGACATGCACTAGCTGATTGAAGATTGTTTCTGATTAAATGCTCTCCAAAGCTGGCTGGTTTGCGAACTTTGTTACTACTTAGGGACAAGCTAAATAAACTGAGAGTGTTTAGAAACTCTAGCAACAATTTGACATTCACTGGACTTCAGAGAGTGATCTGTGGACAATTCTTGTTAAACCCGGCCAAGACCAGCTCAGGCTGCTGAACTTGCACAGCAAGTTGCGTGTCAACTAGTCACATGAAGTAAGACCACATACCAAGATGAGTTAGATTAATAAAAGTTCTCCTTTACCATAGTTAGCGAAGCACGGCCCACTTCTCTTGCAGTGGGCTAGCTCTTCTTTAATGAGAACCACCATCTCTCATTTTCTTTTTCCTGGGTGCAGTGAGGGGCATGACATCAACCTTGGATAAAGTTATTATATATTTAAAAGATTTATTTACTTATGCATACAGAACTGGGGTCCAGGCCAGAGGTGCAGGGGTGGTGAGAGGATTCACCAGAGTCAGCGCGGGGAGCAGAACAGGCAGATCGACGAAGTACACTGCTGAGGGGAGCAGCGGGCGGGTCAGGAGAGGTCTGCCTGGCCATTGGGTCAGATTGAACTGGCACCACAGTGACCGTGGCCAGCGTCACAGTACTGTGCTTTAACAGCTGTTGCGCCACCAGGGAGGGCCCTAGAGTTATTTTTTAAAAGCAAGAGTGAAAATAATGGATCAAGGTCCTCCAAAAAATTCTCTCCATAAAAGCAACGAGAAAAATACAGAACACAGTCAAAATTACAGAACACAGTCAGAACTCTGAAAATGAACTCAAGTCTTACAGCAATGCAGGGAGCATTTGTAGAAAACAAAGTGAAGACAAACAAAATCTTGTTAAGAACAGCACGCCCTGTCATGTTCTAAACCTTATTTGATTTTCTCCTCCCTCTACCTCCTTTATCCAGTACCACACGGGTTTTGAAAATCAACAGCTCACCATCACAGTGAAAACCAGGTCTGGCAGCCACTAGAAAGAGCACTTATGGCTAGAGTTCCTTCAGAGACTCATTCCCAGACAACTGACACTATGACTTTCTGGTGGCTCCCAGCAAGAGCCCATTGCAAAATTGTCATTTGTCCTGACTCAGAGTTCAACTAATGCCAAAAACCTTTTTTCCTGGGGGTGTCTGTCAAAACCATTTAGAGGCAGTTTTTGAATTTGGTTTCTACATGAGGTAGTGGATAACAGTTTGGGCAAACAATGGGCTGAACAGAAAACTAAAAAGAAACACCAGAGAGTAAAATGTTCACGGGGGCTATGAAGACTCTGACATCGTCCTTGGATCCGAAAAGCCCATGCACATGTACAGGGTGGTATGTGTGCTCAGTGAAGACCTGAGGAGGCTCGAAATGCTCAGTCCACTGAGGCTTCATGTGGGTGGGAAGTAAAAGCCAAGGCAGAGGTGTAAGCTGCTTGGCTGATAGAGGTGAGGTCCAACAAGCACTCAAGTCGCTCGGCAAAGGTGGTTTACTGTTCTAGGAAATTACGGGATCTCTGTCTGATGGGTAGCTGAACGTGAAGTAGCAATTTGAGTGGTCACATACAACAAAGAAAACAGAATGAAGTCTTGGAAGGTCACTAAGCAAACAATGACAGCAATCGTAGGGGTAGGAAGACATCTCATTTCCACATTCCACATTCCATTATTTAATATGCTGACTTTCAGCAAGCTCCACCCCCGCTCCCGAATATATAAGGTATGCAAGGAAGGAAATGATGGCCCATTTAAAGGGAGGAAAAGGTGGAACCATTCCTGATGAAGACCAGAAATTGGAATTTATAAGTATAGACTCAGGTTTAAATTAGCAATTTTAAACATGTTCAAAGAGCTAGAAGAAACCACACTCAAATAAATAAAAGTATGAGATTCACACCAAAATAGAGAATACAAATAAAGAGTGAAATGGAAGAAGAAAGGGACGCAAGGATATACCTTTCTCATTCATGGTTTGTGAATATTTTCTACTCCATAGGTTGTCTTTTCACATTCTTGATAATTTCCATTGATGAACAATTTTTTTTTTTTTGTGAATCCATTTTTCCTACTTTATGACACTTGTGCTTTCAATGTCAAACCTAAGATTGTGTTTTCAAATCCAAGGCCTGTTTCCTTTGAATATTTTTTAGATCTTTGAAACATTTTGAATGATTGTATATGGAATAAGAGGTCAAGTCTTTTGCATGTGGATAGCCAGTTGTCTGCCTTTTGTTCAGTTACTTCCTCCTCACTGAATGGTGCTAGAGGTTGAACAGTGTCCCCCAAGAGTATGTTGAAGTCCCAAACCCACTACTTCTGAAAGAATGCGACATTATTTGGTAACTGAAGATGCAATCAGTCGCGGGGAGGTCTGAGAGCAGAGATGGGCTCTTACTCCAGTATGACTGCTGCCACAGAAAGACAGACACAAAAATGATGACCTGATGACCAAGAGGCTGGAGGGCTGTAGCTGCAAACCAAAGAATGCTAAGGATTGATGGCCATCACCAGAAACAAAGAAAAGGCAAGGGGAAATTCCTGGCTACAGGTTTCAAAGGGAATGTAATCTTGCTTTTTGACACCTCAATTTATAGTTTCTGTTCTCTTGTTTTAAGCCACCCAATTTGTTGGACTTTAGGCAATCCCAGGAAACAAAAACCAATGTTGGAACCAATGCTGATATCAGCTGACCACAGATGCAGATGTTTCTGGATTCTCAGTCTTAATAGTTTATTTGTATGCAGTGGTAGTTTTAACTACTGTAGTTTTGTACTGTTTCGATATTGGAGTTGTGAGTCTTCTAAGCTTGTTCTTTTTCAATATTGTTTTGGTATTTGGGGTCATTGTCATTTGCAGTTTCATGTAATTTTTAGGATCAATTTTTCTATTTTGCCAAAAAAAAAAAAAAAAAGCCAATGGAATTTTTATTCTATAGATTTCTGACCTATGAACACTGATTACTGTTTTAAATTCCTTTACAGATACTCACTGCTGGTGTATAGAAAAATAATGTATCTGATAACTTCATTCACTCGCTTTACTAGGTTTGTGTGTGCATTTTGTAGAATTTTCTATACATAGACTAATGTCATTTATAAATAGAAAGTTTCACCTCTTCCTTTCCAAGTTAGATGGCTTTTATTTATTTGTCTTGCCTAATTTCTCTGACTAGCATAAATGCTTCTAGCATAATGCTGAATAGCAGTAATCTGAATCTACTGCCCACCTGGTATCGCTCCAAATATTGTGCAACTAAATTTTCATGTCACTGTCCCACAATGCATTTTAGTGCTCCACCTAGAGTACAAGTGAGATGTTGTCATGCCTGGGAAGGGCACAATGTGCCTTTCTTGACAATTTACCTGACTAGACGCTTGGAGTGAGGGAGATTCTAAACAAAACAGACACAAGTACAACTGAAAGCTATGCTCCAGATTTGGTGACTACATAATTGGTAGAATCAGGTCTAGTATCCAGTTCTGCTGATTATGGCTAGTTCTGTCTTAAATTGTTAATTCTTTGGCTGTCATTAAAAATAAGACCTTAATTAATAAAAACTTGATTTTAAGAAAAAAAGCATAAAAATTACTTCAATGTATCAGCTTTAACCATGAAAATCTCTTTTCCAAGAATAGTCATTTATATTGCTTAAGAGAACAAAATAATTCAAGAATAAAATTTGGGCTATTTATAACTCACTGGAAAGAAATGTTATGTAGGTGACTTAAAAAAAGTATTTCAGAAACCCAACTGTGGTTTTATCATCTACTAAGAGACATTACCAAATGTGAAAACACAGAAAAGAAACATAGGTTTGGAAAAGGTAGACTTTTAATAACTGCTTTTATCACCAGGTTAAGTCATGCAGTTACAAAGTAGTTAGAAATCTCTGAAAGGATATTATTGTTTAAAAAAAAAAAAAAAAAAAAAAAAGCTCATTCTTACATAAATAATATCTAGTGCTTCATTGGGACACTACTGTTTAAAAAAGGCCCTGGCCAAATAACTCCAAACAAAACACTCAACTGGGTGTGTCCAGCCCACTGTTAAAGACGCTGTGTGCAGGGCAGGCCGGCCGGTAGGGGTCATTGGCAATGCGCAGAGCCGCCACCCAGACTCCAAACAGGGAGGCCACGTGGTCTTTTTCTTCCTGGGACACTCTATTTGAATTATTGTTCAATTAGTCTACACAATAGCTCTTCAAAAGAGAAGAGCAATTAATTAACACGATAAGGACACTGCATTCTTTGGACTATATGTCACAATTAGTAAATTTGAACAGTCTTAACAAAAATAGCCTCCATTATTCTCAGATATGAAGATAATTCTCCATTGGGTGTTTTCTATTTGCTGGACAATACATGATTGATAAGCTATAAATGATATTGTTTTATGTTATAAAAATACTAGCTTTTCCCATTTATGTTTATAGGCATTCACTGCTTCAGTTGAAGTTAGGCTTGTTAAGTGATTAAAGGCAATTTTATTACAGCAGCATGTACTTATTTTATTCTAAAATAATAAAATGCTTAAAGAGAAATAGCATTTGTTTGCAACTTGTAAAATGGAGTTAATTTGCTGATGTAAAATACCAATAACTCACGGAAGGACCATGCTACCTTATGAAAATGCCACACACCCGCTTCTTAAATGTGTCAAAGTCACAGCACGTATCAGACTTGTCCAGAGCTAAAGCAGCAAGCAACTGACTATTCTTTGACAATAGGTGCTTTCTGGGGCCACAGCTTTGACGGTGTTGGGAAACAGCCATGGAGCAAGGCAGCACAGCCAGATGGAAGAGACATTTTATTTAAAGGCAAAATACCCAAATGGCTTTCTGGAGTAGGTAATTTCTACTTTCACACTCATCCGTTTACACATGATCCCCTAACCTTAATTTCTTTCTTCTTAAGGGGCTGATTTGGATTGGCTTGTTGAGAATGGTCTCCATTATCTAGTAAGTCATGAGAGATATTTCTGTGGTTACATGTAAACTCGTGATAGATCTGCAGATGAAGAGGTGAAAAGGGTAGTGAAGAAGTCAGCCACAATCCATCTATGTGAAGGTCACACCAGCTTCATTGTACACCTTGAAGACTTTCTCAATGGCATTGACATAGGCAGCCGTTCTCAGGTCCAATCCCAGGTTATACTTCATGGCCGTGCGCATGATTTGCTGAAACAGGAGAGAGGCGGTGAAGACCACTCTGACTCTAGCAGCCATGAACTGACAGGGCACATACAGGGCTGCTACAAGTTACCCTGCGCTATGTCAGTGCATGACTAGGCCAGCCAAGGACAACTACTCAGGCAGTTGGACACTTGTCAGGAAGGACTCATGTTCTGAATTAATGTAAACTCCAACTGTCTTGGTGGCAGTAAGAGGTTGTTCTTTAAAATTTTAGATATGAGCTCTGTGAGCCCTTCAGACATCTTGATTTCTGGATTAAGTTCATTTGTTATACTGTGTGATAATTTAAAAGAACAAAGAACAGGGTGATAAAACAGTGGTGATGGGAACTTGGTACTTTTTTTAAAAAAAAAAAAAAGAGTGAATTTATGACATGCCAGTTATATAATCAATAAGAAATTAACAACAGTCAACATACTGAAGAGCTTGAAAACACTGTTCATCATTTAAGACTGAAGAGGCATCATGCATTTTGCTATATACAAACAAGGAACATATACACAGATTGCTATTTCTGTCGTTACACACATCTGGCAGCTGAGATGACACACTGAGCTGCAGTTCACGGAACTAGCACAAACACCAAAAACATCTGCACACGTACCCTGGCAGAGCGCTCCATAGTGTAAGCTAAACCAGAATGCACGATGTCTTTCTCAGATGCACCCTATTAGGAAAAAGAACATAAATTTAACAAAGCCGTACAAAGACATGCTTCATTTATAAGAGTGCAAAGGATTCTTAAGTCATTATATAGCCAGGAAGAGTTGTATAATCTTTCAGTAAAGACATTTAACTTCTGTACAGTATCTTGCTAACTATTAAGTGTTGCATTTTAATGGAAATTTAGTCTTGTTTCTGACAGCCAACAAATTTTCATGAAATAAGACCACGGTAAAACAACCAACACAGACTGAAGAGGCATGCTATTTACCTTTAGAGGCAGGATATAAATGAGGGCTTTTGACCACCAAACTCAGTTAATGTCTTTCCTAGGTCAATTTGTTACAATAGGTTCCTCGTTGTATCTAATTTGTTTTTTGGAATGAGTTCTAAAACTTGGGCAATCAACTGCCATCAACACTCCCAGTATGATTTATGTAGCTATAAAACACACATCCTATTATGTTAGATAAAAACAAATTGGGTTATTAGTGAAGTTATCTAGGCTGAACTTCATTCAGGTAATTAATACTCTATTCAATTAAGAAAGCATTATTTTTAAAATTAAGATTTATTTATTTATACATATAAGAACTGGGGTGTAGGCCAGAGGTGTGGGGGTTAGAGGATTCACCAGAGACAGGTGGGGAGCAGAACAAGCAGGCTGACTGAAATACACTGCTGAAGGGAGGAGGGTGAGACAGGAGAGGTCTGTTGCGCCATGTGGATCAGCTCCTTGGGGATCAAACTTGTGCTGCAGTGGCTGTGGAGAGCTTTATACGATAGCATTGAGACTTTACTCCCTGCACTACCAGGGAGGCCCAAGAAAGCATATTTCTGACACTTGTATTAATTAAGAAATATACCTTATTTTTTCCCATCAAGTTAGGTGCTGATGTTACTCATTATGTTGATAAGAAAAGTCTTAGTGGAATGAGAATAGGCTCAGTATGAAAGAAGAAAGAATTGGAGATAGAGAGTATACATAAGTAGGAGGTCGCTATAAGGGAAATAAAATGACAACACAAATAAAGAGAAGGGAACTGGGATTAAGATTTATTTATTTTTTAAATATAGCATTTAGTATTTAGGATCGACTGAGTGGAAGAAAGACTGATGATATAGGAGTCGGGGTGATTTACTGAGCACGGTACATTTAGGAATTGGAAAACAAGCTACGTATTGCCCAAAACAAGCCTGGGTCTTAGATGAAAGCAGAGTTGAATTTACATCAAAAGGAGAGACAACCAGGAGCCAGGAAACATGGAAGTTATGTGAATGCTTCACTTTTCCTGTGTATATATCAGGTCATGAGCTGGAGTAGAGGAGAATGAGGGGAAATTATCACTTGATCTTTCAGGAGAATGAGAGATGAATGGGACTAGGGAAAGCAGAGTGATTGCTGGGCAGCCCTGAGAGCCTAGCTGAGGCTAGAGATCAGAGTTTCAGGAGCCAGTGGGGTTTCTATCTATGCTGGTATAGGCACGGAGAAGGCAGAGTTGGATTTCATCAGGGTTAAGGAGTTAATGAAGCAAAACAAGACTAGGAGTGAACGTAGGGATGGAACATAGGATTTAAGTTAGACAAAGAGATGATGAAGGGCAAAAATCAGTCAGCAAGGGATGAAAGTCATTTCCAGCATCTGCTTTCCTAACTAACTGGCTATCTTCTGCCCTCTGCTCAGGTTCAAACTGAGTGCCATATATGGCTCAGGCATGTGCTGGGGCATGGGGCCTCATGAAGTCTATCTCAGAGCAACTAAGCAGGTCCACTGACGATTTCAAAGTTACTTGTGATGGGAGGAGAGAGGAGTTTCTGGCACAAGGAGGCTGACTATCAGAGGCGTGGTTAGACTTAAGGTCAAGGCATGCCAGACAGAGACCAAAACTAAGAAATAGGAGGGTTTTATCTAGGGAATAACCCAGAGTGGCGAAATGACCTTTTCATCTTCTGAACAAAACCCTAACTCTTCCCCATGTCATCATATAGTCTTCAATTATTTTTCATGACTGGATACTGAAGAAGATATATCATAACTGCCCCCCTGCACATTGTTCAACTAAACAAATTTAAAAAAAACGATCAGACATACAGTTCTAATGGCATCATACATGGAGCAACTCTACAAGGAGAAAATATTTTCTGAGGATAAATTATCACAGGGCACAATATTATAGTGTCAAGTTTAAGGAAGGTACACTTCAAAAGCCTTTAGAATTCTCAGAGCTTGACTGATGTGCACCATCATTGGAACAGAAGTACAGCTGCCTTACCACAGACATCCTGAGTATAGGATTCATGAATTATTTGTGCTAGTTTAGTGCATTAAATAAAGCTTATTTTGATCTGTATTTCTTTTAACAGCAAGGCAAAACCATGTTTCTAGGCCTACTTCTCATGGTTTTGTTCAATCTTCTGGCATTTGCTGCTTAAGAGTTCATTTTGTGACATGAATCATTAATATACTCTGTCAGTGATATGCATTATTAATATACTGTCAGGAACTAACATGAAATACCTTTTAACCTCTGTTTTCTTTAACTCTCTTGTGTTTACACAGCAAAGTCAATTTTTCATATACCTAATCTATTGCTTACTTTTCAATCCTTTCTATTTTTGAAACTTAAAAAGCCCACTCAGGTCCTGTAATCACTGTCATGTTCACTACTACCTCTCAACTCAAATCAACATACCTGGTCTGCTACAGAAGCAGGAAATGTGTACAAAATACAACTCAGTTATAGGCAACTCACCGATATTCTGTCTTGAAATTCTGCTGTTGGTACGATGGGGATAGTTCCACCATGCTTTCCAAATTTTCTTTCCAAACTCTCCTGAACAGACACTATAAAAACAAACAAACAAACAAACAAACAAACAAACAAAAAAAAAAACAAAACCAGGAGATCAAAATAAGATAGGGAAAAAATGAAGTAGAACCAAAAGTAGCACTGAAACACATATTCATAGGCCAAAGACCAATAATGAATTTCAGAAAAAACCTTTGACACCAAAGACAAAGAATTAATCATTTAAAACTCAGTTAAAAGAAATAAAGCATTTTGCCAAAGTCCTATATAAACCTGAATTTAGGTCACTGCTCAGTTTCCATAACACCCATTACCAGGGTTTTTCCTTGGCTCTTTCAAAAAGAAATTGCTCAGGGAAAAAGAAACGGAAATAGATGAACACTTCACCCAGATTCTTATTGAGCTGAGTAAAGCTGCTCAGTTGGAGGTCTTGGTCCTATTTCAACTTGACGATAAATTCTGCTGCTAAATCTGCAGTCTACTCTAGTCAAAGAAAAAGTTTTCTCATCATAAGACTCAAAACTTCTTGACAATAGGTAGGTCTTTCTTTAATAAGAGCAGTCAGAAATAGAAATGGATGAGTATCAACAGGAGTATTATAATAATACTCTTTATGTTACTAACCTGTAGATTATGCTTTGGGGACATTACATCAAAGAATATCTGACTACAAATATGAGTGGTAATCTACTGAACACCTAAGATACATAACACATAAGAAATTCTGTACTTTTGGCTTAAGTCTCATGAGATAGAATCAGTATTCAGTTCTGAGATTAAATTCTCTAGGATTAGTCTTTTAAATGTAAGTTTTTTTTAAAGAAGCTGGCCTAAAATACAATTTTTGGGGAACTCATCAGAACTTACTAAGCAAGTGGTAATTAGAATCTCTTTCATATTTGAAGGTTAAACGGCCATAGCTGACATGATTTAGGTTCTTCAGCCACTCAAAGTACGATACTGTCACTCCTCCAGCATTCAAGTAGAGATCCTATACACAAAACAGGAACACAAGGTATCAAAGAATGAGAAGATGACATTTTAAAAGTTTACAAGATTTCACTTCTTAAAAAAAAAAAAAGAGTTTATTTTTACCTTGTTTTGTGTCTTTTTCCATCTTAGTTGTAATCCCCATGGGAGATTTAACTTTTAAAGCAGATTAGTCTTCAAACTTTCTGACAGTTTAGAAACTTCTATTTATTTAAGCAACCCCCTTCCCAATCTATCTGAAGTTTTTTCAATTCAGTAAAGATTTTGGGGCAATTTGTCAATAAGCACTTAATCAACTTTGGTTAGTCTCTTCTCTACCAAAAAGTTCTCAAGCAACATTGCTTGCCCACTAACCACTGGCTTAGAACATCCACAGGATGTCTTACTATAAAGTTAACATCCCTTCTTCATTAGCAGAGGTAACTCTTATTTTAGATTGCATGTAAGTGTTCTCAGCAATGGGGTTTTCTTTAAAATGTAACCCAAGCCCACATTATCTTCTAATTTCCAATAACCTTTGGTATAAACTCCATTCTTATTCTTTGAAAACCCTGAATACATATTCCTTACCATAGCTTTCTGAGTAAGCAGCAAGGTACACTTGAGATGCATTATGTTAGAACTATCACAGAATATTTTAGTTTATTTAGAATAGTATTTATAACACAATGTACATTTATGTCACTGAATTCTTAAAAAAACAAACAAACGAAAAACAAAACAAACAAACAAAAAAAACAAAAAAACTAATTGCAATATACACCATGGAGTATAGTATGGCTGCCACAAGAAAAGATGAAATGCAGTCATTTTTTAACAAAATGGTGGGAAGTTGAGAGAATTTTGTATTAACAAATTAAGTCAGAACAATAAAAACCTACTGACATTCATGTAGCACATAATTTGACAACATAAAACACTTTCAGAAGCTAGTGGATAACAATAAACATCTTAGGACTCTGAGGTTAAGGCGGAGGGAAAGGGGTAAAGGAATACAAGGGTGGGCGTGGGGGAAATAAAAGACCAGATACACTCTTAAGAAAGAATCTGAAGTCGGTCAAAGTGAAAATTGACAGGTTCATCATACTAACTAACTACACTTTTACTGCATTTTTTAATTCTTAAAATTTTAAAATATTTATTTACTTAGGTATAGAAGAGTTGCGGTGTCGACCAGAACTACAGGAGGAAAAAGGAATTTACCAGAGACAAAGTGGGGAGTAGAACAGGCAGACCAACTGAAATACACTGCTGAGGGGAACAGCTGGTAAAACAGAAGAGGTCTGCTTCGATATGTGTGACTTAGCTCCCTGGCAGGGTATTGAACACAGGCCCTAGCAATCAGTGTTGAGAATTAATCCCTAACCCACTAAGGAGACCCAACTGCATTTTCTTAAAAGAAAAACAAAGATAGAAGATTCACTATAATCTGGAAAACTAACACAACTTTCCACCAATTCCCTGCAAAAGGCAATTACAATTCCAAGTACATATGAAACCTAGCAAACATAGATGACTTACTGGAATAACCATAATGTTCCTCTCCAGGAAAATCTTATCAGCTTCTGGAGTTGTTGGTCCATTGGCACCTTCAGCAATGATCTGCCAAAAAATGAGGAACATACAGAAATGTAAAAAACATTGTCATAACCCTTCCACTGAACCTGAGGGATGTTCAGGGCAAGGTGTTCTGGGGAGAAGCATACACACATTTAAAATTAAATTAAGAGGAAACCCAGTTAACAGTTTTTCTATGACTCTCATTGCACAGTAATACAGGGCTAAATCAGTCTCTATCAAGCTCTTACCTTGGCTTTGACCCTGGGTGCATTGGACTTGGTCAGCTGCTTCTCGCTTGCAGCAGGAATCAATATGTCACATTCAGCTTCCAAGATGTTACCTTCATAAGGCCTGGCCTTGGGGAAGCCCAGGATTGATCCATGTTGCTGGAATTGATGGAAAATCAGGATAAATGATTTCAGCAGTACTTAAATGTTTATGTTTCACATCCATAATATGGAAACTCATTTGTTAAAGAGCTCTTTAAGTTACATTTCCAAAAATAAGCAATGGAAATAACATCGATAAAATTTATTTTAATTTTCAATATTCAGGGCAGTCAAATGGTTCAGATATTAGATTAACATACCAATTTGAAGTCTTCCAGTTCCTTTGGGTCAATACCATCTGGATTCCATATGCTTCCATCAGATTCACCAACACCAACACATTTAGCACCAAAACGATGTAAATATCTCATAGAGTGTAGGCCCACATTTCCAAATCCCTGGGAAGAACAATTATGTATGGCATAAAAATCAAAGTTCTAAGCACAGAATATAAGCCAGCGCCATTTTCTGACTAACATAAAGACATGGCAGTGGTAGCCACCATGCCACCTAGGCCCTTAGTCCCTGATGACCCGATGCCCTATGACTGTAAAACATTAGATTGCTAATTGGGAGGAATGTAAATTATCTTTTTTTTAAAATATAATATAATAGTTTATTTTTACATCATTTTGTAATTTTTTTTCATCTCAATTGTAACCCCTGTGGGTTTCCAATCATAAATTATCTTTTAAAGTAGCATTAAAATAATCAAACAGCAACCCAAAAGTTGAAATTTGGGTCACTGCAAACCTTTACTAGTCTAAGACTTTTCACAATCTGGAATCAATTTTGCTTTAAATTTTGACCATAAGAAGTTGTAATTTCAAGAATTAAACCAAAAATGGTTGTAATTTCAAGAATTAAACCAAGTTTCAAGAAATAATTACAACGAAAACAAGTTCTAAACTTAATCAGATTTAAAATTATCAACTTCAAAAATACTGAAAATCTAAAACTTAACTATCTGTAATCTTTTAAGAAAAAACGAAAATTTTACCTGAACAACAAATGTTTTATCTCCAAACCCTGGTGTCATTCCTAAAATGCTCATGTAGGAAGCTTCATTGATGAAGTTTTCAATCCCATGGAAAACTCCCCTACCAGTAGCAGAGATCCGCCCATGGATTCCACCTTGGCTGATGGGCTTGCCAGTAACACAGGCATGGGCATTAATATCCTGCAAGAAGTCAAAACTTAAGAGCTAAAATACCATAGTTGTTTCTATCATGAACCAACATAAGGAAGGAGTAAGGTGAAACATTCTCCTTTAGCTGTGTGTTTTAGGTACACTTTCATCAAAAGAGATACTGTTTCAAACATGTGCCCCTAGAAAGTATAAAGTAGATTTTACTTTCTGATGGGGGAAACAGGATTTTAGAAATTTAACATGAAATAAGTACAAATAACATAATCATAAGTAATGAGATAACTGAACTTAAAACTATTATTCCTGCAACAATTTTTTTTTATAAAGATCTATTTATTTATGCATACAAGAGAGCGGCGGTGCTAGTCAGAGTTGCAGGAGGGGCAGTGAGGTGAGAGGATTCAACACAGAGTGGGGAGCAGGCAGATCAACTGAAATCTTTTTTTTTTTCCATAATAATAGTTTATTTTTACATCATTTTATGCCTTTTTCCATCTCAGTTGTAATACTGTGGGGTTTCCATCACTAAATCACCAGTGCCTACAACAAATATTTAAGCCTTACTAAGTCAGGATATACACCCCAACCATAAATGTCATATGTGAACATATCAATAAGAGCCTCCTCAAGATAGGAATAGGCCATTACACAGTGTTCTTAGGTAAGACTCACTTAATGGTCAAATTAACTACATATTAAGTAAAATGCCACTTTAAAAAAGTTTCCAGCGCAATTTGGAGTACTTATCAAAATAAAAATACTCAGTATTTAATAAAACTAGTGACAGAGGTATTCTAAAAAGTTCAAAAACAACAAAAAAACTAAAAACCTAAATTAACCCAGAAATTCCAATTCCAGGAATTCATTTTTTGTGCATCTAGTAGGATATCATTTGGGTTCAAGAACAAAAGAAGATACATGTGGGTGAGACACAGAGGGCCATGTTGTGGGTGAACAGGGAAGTTTTGGTGGGAGGGGAAGAGTTTTCACTACCCACCTTTCTGTACAATTTAACTAATGAATCTTGTTCATGAACAAATATCATTAGAAAAAAGAAATGGGCTTGGGAAGAGTATCCCTCCACGGTACCAAATACACCATTAACAGGCAACCAAAGTATAGACAGAACAGGCAAATCCATCAGTGGGACATGAGAAACCAGAGAGATTCCCATGGTATATAGGCAATCGATATAAAATTTTAAAACAGTGCCTAGGTAGTATGGGCTATTTAATAATCTTGTTGAAGCAATTTGCTACCCATGTGAAACAAGTTAAAGTTCCTCACTTCACCCTGTGTTATTCTCTAGCCATCAATATATGCTCTAGGTGGGTGAGTTTCTAAGTGACCTGGTTTTTATTTGTATTGTTTAAATATTTTTACAGAGAGAACTTTGAATTGAATTACTTGTATAATTACCAACAAAAACAACAGCAAGTAAAAAAAAAAAAGCAAAAAAAAAAAAAAGCAATCTAGTAAAGTGATTTATAGAATTAGTTTTCCCACAGCCTTTCTTTCATGAATAATTAACACTTATGAATACAGAATTGCAAACCCAGTGCCAACTGCTTTTAAACAGTGAGTGCAAATGCTGGAGCTTACAGCAGTCCTGTCTGAGGTCAGGCAAAGTGCCAGATGCAGAGCTACCCAGCATAACTAATTGTCCTGGGAGCCCAGGAGAACATTCTCCCTCCAACACCTGCTCTTCTGGGTGGGGCAAGACAATAGTGAATGGCTCTGGTTGATGTCTGGAAATAAGCTACAAAAACTGTGTCTTCTTTAGACTAATTTTTTTTTTAAACAAATTCCTGATTTTGGATTTCCTCACTTTAAGAAGGAAAGTTTTTACTGGTATAGTCTTACAGTCTAAGCTTTAGCTGTCGGTGCCTCACAAAACCTTTTGCTGTCACTACTGGGAATGAGCGATGCCTAACAAGACGCTGCCTACTACTTCAATCTAGTGTCTTGCTTTAAAGGAATGAGCAACTATATTCAGAACTCACTTGACCATCATCTGGTGGCAGGGAAAAGATCTTTTTGGAAAATCTTAATGAAAATAAAATCCTTCAAAGTGTCTTCCACTGCTCCTATTTCAGAGGATTTATGCAAATGACCTGAAGTAGTACTTACATTTTTTTTTGTCCTGACTAAGGGTTGGGTACTGCTGAAAATGTATTATATTAGCATTCATTTAATCTCATGACTGTGAGTTTACTATTTTGCATACAAGGAAACTAGATACAGAGAATGTAAGGCACTGGCCGCCGGCTATGAAAATGGTATGTGAGGGAGCCAGTTCTAGAATTCTGGCAGTTTGCTCATGTTCTGAACTACAGATTATACCACTCAGGAAATGACAGGGACCTCTTTCAGCTGTAGCCCTTCCCTCATGTTCCCTCCCTCACAGGGGAGAAACATGCCTCTTCTCTAAGGTTTATCTTTCCACACTGAACAGTAACACCCTATGTGTTGATGACAGCCACCTTTTAGGGTGTCTTCTATGGTGCCATTTTTCTTAAGTGGGGACTGTTGAGGCCCTCATTATAGTTTTGCATGGCTTCACAACTTTTAACATCTCTCCCAATAGCTTGCACTTAGTGGGTACATGATATGTAGCTATTATATTTTGTGTATGTATGTATGCATGAGATTTACTTTCACTAAGTAAACTGGTTTATAGTTGTTTACACAGTTGCTTGTTATTTTGGAAATATAGAATCCCCCTTTCCACTGCTGTTACCATAGTGCCTCCATCAGAGCACCCATCGCCCACAGTCCATCCTGCTCCCTCCTCACTTCGTGCTTGCTCCTTCCCCTCCACCCCCCCTTCCTTGATACGTTTTTTTAAATGATCCTTTCTTTCTCCACTCCTTTTTTTTTTTTTTTTTTAAAGGTTGCATCCATCCCTTTTAAGGACAGTTTTACTCCTTGGTCTATATAGTGCACTACTTCTGCTTGGTCCCTCATATTCCAGTGCTCTTGGTTCTCTATGTCCTTCTCCTTGATCCCAAACATTCAACCCACTGAGTCTACCCCTGTTGGGCCAACGCTCCTCCCCGGATTCCACATGACAGGCCCGCCACCATGGGGTTGTTTCCTTCCTCAAGTAGCTCACACAGCCGCCAGCTTGCTGTTCTATGGAGAGGTTAGCTTCAAAGGTTCCCTCTGACTAGCAAATATAACAAAAACATTTTTTAATCCTAGTTCCATTACGTCTTTACCTTTGAAATATGCCTTACTTTCACAGAAAACCAGAGCACTACTGTTTCTCCTCCTGGCTCTGCAGTCTCTATGCTAAAAGTCTGACTATTTTCAAGGTCTAGCCCACTCTTATAGAAGCTATCCAGAAATCACTAACTCTCCATCCTTTAACACTATATCCCTATCATGTCTGTTTATGTGCTCAGTTCCTGTTAAATCAGTCTTTAAGGGGAAAAAATTTAGAATTAAATGCTCCTTTGTTTCTCTTCTAGTTTCTAAGCAGTGTGCCCGGCCCTGGCTGATAATCTCTTTGAGTTTCCTACCCTGGCACCTAAGATTGGGCAATAGCAAGTGAAAAGTTCCATCCATATTCATTACACCGATGGTTTAAGAATAGAGGGAAGTAAAGCCCAGTGAATTCCCCATTCTAGATCTATGATCAGTTTATTTCTTATAGATAGCAAACGATGGACTCAGACTTTTGTTTGTACTCACATAGTGTCCTATGGTGCTAGCATAGGTGTCAGCAATCCAGGACATCTCCCGCTCTCCAGTGCTCATGTCTGGGGCAGGCACATCAATGCCGGGGCCTGGGGGCAGAGGGAAGGTGCATTGCACACACTATAAGATAAACTCACTTCAAACACAAAGAGCCTTTACACAGTACTTTTTCCAAGCTGCACTTACTTGTTACACATTTGGAATTAGCTATGGACAATAGATATAAACCACTCAACACGCAAGCAGTCCAATTACCTGAGCTTCTCTCCACCCCAGCTCCTTTGCAGTAACAAATAACATACCACCTCACACTACACGAGCAGGATTGCTGTGGTTATTGAGTAGATGTGTGGGACATAACAGCACTTTATCACTCACTGAGAATCTAAGACCCCTTCACTAAGTAGAAAAAAGAAGGGCTCTGGAGAAAACCACAGAGCTGAAGCACTTTTATTAAGGCCCATAATATTTTTACCCATGGTGGTGTTGTTTTGACCTTATTCTGAAAGCTTAGTCAGTGTACATAAATGTTTCAGGCTTTGATTTCCTATTTTTCAGGTCACAGCAAATTAAAAAGTTTGAGGATACAAGAAATCAGCTCAAGGGTAGCAGTAGGTACTGGTGACAATACTACTAGTAAAGGTCAGTGAAATCTCATGTAGGAATGTGTTAAATGATGCTCACTCAAATCTATTAAGGTAGGAAATAGAGAAAATTTTCTCTCAGCAATAGTAAGAATAAAAATAACCCAATTATCTTGAGGGTCAATTAAAGAAATATTATGCAAACACTGAATGACCAGGGATCATCACAAAAACATACATGTGAAAAAAATTAGTTTTCATACGGCCTATGTATACACTTTCATTGCATCAACACTTTAGATACACTTCTATTTGTATGTCTGTATGCAGAGGTTTGGAAAGATACGCACAAGCTTAAACACAAAGGTTGGATTTCAGCTATATGGTTAACTTTCTATTTTACTTCAATGGTATACTACAAACCATCTTTACAAAAAGAAAAATAAATATGGTTAAACTATTAAGTATATCAAATAAAGTTCTATGTAAGTGTGGTACTTGAGGTTTTCCTGTAACTTTCACTTTTTAGTCAACAGAATAATGTACATTTTAATATTCTATATTTCAGGGGTCAAGGTTCTAGCTAAGGTACTTACAAGTTGTGATGTAATGCACATAGAACTGATGAACAACTGAAATGTCAAGGATTGATTCTGACACCCCTTCTAGCCTGCTCCTTCATGCAAACACCAACTCTTCTATATCTCAGTACTCTTTTCCTTAGGCATGCATCTTAAAACTCTGCTAAAGTCTAACCTTTCCAAACCTTCCTGTTACCATACACAACTCTATTGTTTTTCCAGAAATTGAAAGCTGGTCCTACACTCAGTGTGAAAGGGTTAATATGTAGACTCTTCTAATATGCAATGTCAAACGTTCCATTTGAGGTAAATTACTAAACAACAGAGAAGTATCAATACAAAAGGTTTGTCTAGGACTGATTAGTTCTATGAACTGAAGGAGAGAATAAAAATCTTCTGCCTTGCTCTTAAGACAGAAAATTTTCTGGGTCCAGATGTCAACTTACTTGCATTGTAGGTTAATGAAGCTTTTAGTGTTTCACTGAATCACTTTTTAAACTTTTTGGAATGTGCAGTACTTGTCAATACCAGAAAATTAAGCTGCATGTATCTAGATATGACCAATAAACACGACAGAATAAAATCTGAAACCATGAGGATTATTAAGTACATTTGAGATTTCAGCTAAGAAATAAGTGAGAAAATGTTAGGGAAGAAAAACACAGGGGCAGGAATATAGAAAAAGTAGATTTTCTTTCCAATTTTAGTCTTTAATGGTGTTAGGAGGGTAAATATTCTATTAAATAACTATTAAAACTAACCAGAATCATTTTAGAACAAGAAACAATTTATTTGAAAATTAAAGATTATGTGACAAACTTATACAGAGATATCTGTATCTCATATGAAAGAACATGACATAACAGTATGATATGAAAACATCAAGCAAATAAAGCTCTGTACCCTCAGAAATTCAATCTGCTTGGCAAAAAAAAGCTCCTAGGAATAAACATTAGGAGTAGGAGCCTCAGGAATCCTTAAAAATCAGTCACTGGTAGCACAGCGAATTATCAGCAAGAATTTCCCCATTTCCCACCTGCTTTCAAAGGACAAGACTGGTTATACCTCCGATTCTAAAAAGTATCAGATACCTCACTGCTTTAAGAACAGTATTACTGTTGAAAAGCTGCTTTTTACAAGTCAAATTTTTTTTTTTTAAAAATAATACAGGTTTTAGTAAGTTCTTAGAAGCAGGGCCTTGGTCTTCCTAGATGTTGCATTAGAAATTGTTCATTGCTGTTCTATTGATCAAGAAGAGGTGGACATGATCTCCAATGGTACCCACACTGCATTCCAAGGACCTCAATCCACTTTCTCAGATATGTATGCATGATGTGTATTGCATATGTAATTTTACATATATATACTATTTATACATAAAGCAGAAACCCGAATGTCCCACTCCAGGCAGAAAAACTATACGACAACACATACCAATAAAACCCTTCTTTGCAAGTTCCATGGTGAACCTCCTTGTGATCTTTTCTAATTCATTATCCTGTAAAGGAAAAGGATAAAGATAATAATGAAATACATTTTGAAAGCAAAACTACGTGTATAGAGAATAGCTGCATATTTTTCATTTGTAGGACATTTACATATATTTTCTTCTATGACCTTCAGACCTTATATGAGTATATACTCCCACTTTAAAAGTAAGAGAACGTAAGCCCTAACATTAGGCCATACAATCAGCAGCTAGAACTAGGGGCTCAAGTCCTACTGGCTGCTGTTCCCTTTGTATTAATACAGGACTCAACGAGCAATCTCTAAGGTATATTTTCATTTAAAGGATGAACTTAAAAAATGAAATCATTTATTATGTTTACATACTGATATAAATATGTAACAGACAACTAAAGCTAGTAATAACTTGCTTTTAATTAACCTGGAACAGATAAGATAAACAACTAAATTTTTACTGATTAAACTGTGTCACTAAGACCTTGAGATTCTGACATAAAATCTCAGATTACTGTAATATATAAACATAGATGAACTGCTTAAGAATATGAAGATATTAATTACCATTTAACCAAGTGAGAAAATGAAAAAGGACATTAAGTAGGTAACCTTTTAATATGGCCAAATACCCAATGAGTTAATTATTTACTTGTTTTCCATTCTTTCTAAAAGCAATAGGAACCATTAGTCTCACTGGTATGGCAGACAGAATCCCAGTAATTTCAAGCTTTCTATAAATGCAGTGTATGCACAAATGTCAGTTTGATACTTACAGTATAGTTCTTAGGATTGATCTTCACACCTGCTTTGGCACCCCCAAATGGTACATCTGAAAGAGAAAGCTGAAAGCTGTTACTTCCATAAAGGGCAAGAACACTAGAAAGTACTACAAAATATTAAAAAAAGTATGATGCTTTAAGCTTGAATTTCATAAAATGAAAGAAATAAACCTATATTGATCCCTTCTGAAACAGTATACTTTAAAATTCTCATGAACAAAACTTTTAAGGCTAAACGAATTACAATGCATATTTAATCAGTGTACATTATCAATTTTAAACATACTTCCCTTCTACTATAATTTGGTCATATTTACAGAGTGTGGAAAGGGATTTTAAGTAAAGATCTACACTTAAAGAAAAAATTCAATTCCTATAAAGTTTTCTATTATAAAAAGACTAAACCTTAATTAAGACTAATTTAAAAAGAATCTAAGTTTTAAACTGTGTAACTTAAAAAAATTAGATGAGGTGAATTTTAAAAGTAACCTTGCATATAAACATTAGGTATTAATAAATGAGGTCACTTACCAACCACTGCACACTTATATGTCATCAGAGAAGCCAAAGCTTTTACTTCATCTACACTCACATCAGTGCTGTAACGGATACCTGGTAGAGTATTAAAAAAAAAAAAGGGCAGGGGGAGGGAGTTTGAGAAAAAAAGATTTATTTAGAAGATCCTTCTGGCAAGTTTGGAAAAAAAAAGCTACACACTGAAATGCCTACACTTTTTATTTTTCTACATCCCATTTTGTTTAAAAACACTTGAAGTATCTTATAATAAAAAGCCCAACATGATACAGACAAGAGGAAAAGTTGTTAATTACATACCCATAGCACAATAACAAACAAAATAATTGATTTTGAATATTCTGAGTTATGAGAAAAAGTTTGGCGTTGAAGCCCAATTCTGCTTTCTGGTAGAAGATAAGCAGGGAAGTCAGAGAGGAAGACATAATCCTATCTTCCAAAGACTTACATCCAGCAGTACCTAAGATTCTACAAGATAAACATAACCTTCAAAATGAATTTTATTTTTAAAAAGAAAGCCCACTCAGCTGGAGAAAGCAGCTTAATCATTTTTTATAGCAAGGTTTCTTTTATTTTTCAGAAAACATCTATCTAAATATGAATAAGTTCTAAGAGAATTTTATCTGTGGTATATATAATCAAAAAACCATGAAAAGTAAGCAAGCTGAACTAGGATCTTTGGCCTACTGGAAAAATACAAGGATTATACTTAGAAGACTTTCAACAACACTGCTTCCTCATCCCTACTCTATAGCCTCTTCTATTTTATTTAATATTTTACCAGTGGCTTTGTGTTTGTCTGCTATTTGATGTACCTACAAGGCAAGCTAGTTTATTAAGACAGACTATTTTGTCACTACACTAATTCCTAGTGACTAACAAAGAAAACAGTGTGTTTTAGGCAATCAGTTATGTGCTGACTAAGGATATGAACATTTTTGGCTTGAAATCTGAGAACAGAAAAGCCATGGTCACTAAAAATTTTAACATATATGCAAGTTCTCAGTAATTTACCACTAAGTGTCCATACATATAAAAGGGCTAAAAAGTGCTAGAAAGCATAAGTACAAGGTACAAAAAAGTATTCCAAAGGGTTTGGAATACTCTATCTTTAAACAAAAATGCTGTTAATGATAAGGTGCAATGTCCTAACCAAGTGAACCCAATGCTCCACTAGCTGCAGGCACCTACACTTGCTCACCTGTGGAGGGTAACTTTGCTCTCAGGGTTCCTGCCAGGATTGCAGGAGGGGACAACTCTGAGAGGCAGCTGACAATCTCAGTCATTATCCCTACATTACCAGTATTACAAAGTAGTAGTAAACAACAAAAAATTTACTCTTTAAAAATTCTAAAATTATAGGAATTTAAACAGCATAATAAGCCTTGCTTCATTGTTTCTCAAGATAAATTCATGGGGGTGATAAAATAATGTATTTAAAATTGGTATTTCTCCTATGAAACATTTCTTCCCATCGCTCTTTTACACCCTGTGGTAGACGATACCAAGTTACTTTAACTTCCCTTGCTTTCTCAAGTGAGGGCAGAAGTTATTTCCCTTACCTAGTGCTTATAACTAATGCATTCCGCTGGAAACTACCTGAAATACATTTATAAGTCAGTCGTCTCACTATTTACAAAATCAAGCCTTTCCTCCTTTTCTATTGAATAGGAAGTCTGGCAGTATAGACTAAAGTTGAACAGGATCAACAGTGGCAACAGGGGCAGAAAGTAGGAGTAACAAAAAAAATTTCAGAAAATTAGGGGTTTTAAAAAGTCTTCTAAAGTTCTAGGACACTATTAGCCTTTGTTGACACCAGAATTGCTAATACTTGGGAAGAGATCACCATGGTCTTGAACAGTGTGGTGTAATAGATTACTATTCACCTAAGAATGGAGGTAGGAACTTGGAATGAAAAGCCCACTGCCTGCTAAACTCTAAAGCTAGTGGGGTGATTACAAAGGTCCAAACCACAGGACTGTTGTCATTAGAAATGGGGTCTAAAGTCAACAGTCTGATGGGCTTCCAGTACAAAAGGAATGAAAGAAATAGCACCCATGAGAAACTTTCTTATTTATCAACCTGGTAAAAGTTCAAAGAATGACTTGTAATAAAGTCTTACTACAACTGGAACTCTGAAATTGTATCTTTCATTCAAGAAAATAAACTAATACACAGTGACTTTAAATGTGAACTGATATCCAAATATTTGAAAAACACTGAAACACAAGACATCTGCATACTAAACACAGCAGAAAGCTTTTTTCTGCCTTTTTAACTTAAGTTACCAAAGATATTTCTTACTATCCTCAAGAGTCTAATGATTAGTGCATACTAAGTTTTTCCTGGAGAAATAAAAATCAAAAGCAAAAACTAGCTGAAGTTGCTATGGTGACAAAGAAAGCAAGCACACCAGTTGGAAAGATTCAGTGAAAACCACAACTGAGTAGCCTGAATTTTTCTTCCTTTTGTTGGTTGACTCAGAACCAGAATTATACAAAAGGTCTCTTACTTGCCATTTTTTTTATGATTAATCATTCATGATTTTTAAATGGTTCTTAAAAGCACTTGACCTTGGAGCTTTTAATAGGATTTGATTTACTCATCAGAAACCTAATTTCCAACTGTTTTCTCTTACTTTTCAGAAACTACTTATTCAGTAACCAGTAGTTCTACAAGGATGAAACTCCCAGAAAAGCAAAATGGGCATTAGAATCCTTAAAAACAATGCATTAACACTCGTCATTAAATTATTTAAACCCATTTACTCAGTTAAAACTAATATAATATCCTATTTAACAATAACAACAATTAAAAATGAGGAAGGAGGTAAAATGAGGAACTAGTCACCATCACTAAGTAATGACTGTAAAAATACTGTAAGTCTCAGAAAAATCTCAAACTTTTAGCACTAGTAAAGAACATATAGTGTAGGAGCTAAGGAAAATCATATTCTTTAATTAGTCCATGTAGTAATCTGTACAGGAAAGCAAGCAAACAACTACGTTACTGACTCACCTATGCATGCACGTACGATTATAGATTTTTATAGTTTTTATAGATTTCAGTAATAACAAACATTAAATTTAGTGACACCATCACACCAAAAAAGTCTTGGAAATGATGTCAAATCGATGGAATGAAGTTCAACAATTAATATAAAGCAGAAAATATTAATAAGGTTTAAAGGAGTAAATGTTCAAAATTTTGGATACCCATTAAAAACATTTTGTAGGTGTGGCACAGCAGACCTCTCCTATCTCAACCTGCTGCTCCTCTCAACAGTATATTTCAGTACATCTGCCTGTTCTGTTCCCCACTATGTCTCTAGGGAATCCTTTCATTCCCTGCACCTCTGGCCTTCACCCAGCTCTTGTATGCATAAACAAATAAATCTTTAAAAAATAAAGAGATAAATGTTGATAAAGTCCACCAAAAAAAAAATTTTGTAGGTGATATTTGAGATCTTAAGAGAGGAAGAGAATTATAGAGACCAGAGGCTGGCAAGGATGGGTACCCAAAGGCAGAGCAACTCTCTTTGAACAAGGTTAAGATTCAGAAAAATAAAATACACCTACATCTCCAACTCTCCTAAAGACTTCCCCTTTGTTTTTAAAATTCCGTTCTCCCCTAGTGACATTACTGTCCCTAATACCATCATTTCTTTTCTACAAGTGTTTAGGACTAGAAATTTGAGTTATCTTTGGCTCTTTCCTTGTTTATTCCATATGTCCCAACTATCTTTTCTTTAAAATATTTTATCTGTCCTTTACTTTTCATTTTCTCTACAATTACCTATCACTTCATTCTCAGTCCCATTGCTGCCTTGCTTTTTATGTTCTCCTAGGTTTCATTATCCATCCAACAAACTTCAATAGAAAACTTTTTTTGCTCACACATCTAATACGAAATATGGTTTTATGACATTATGCCATTTTCTAGTGCTTGGTGTGATACAATTTAATTCATTCGTAGTGCAGAGTCCAAAAGAAAAGAGCTCAAATGCACATTAAGACCAACCCTCATTTTAGTCACAAGTAGTGATTGCCCAGGGAACACACATTTCTAAATTACTTGACAACTGGGGGTTTCCACACCCCCTCCTCAGGTTTGATAATTTGCTGTAATAGCTAATAAAACCCAAGGAAACAGTTACTTACATTAATTGGCTTATTACTTGCAGGAGCTTTTGTGCCCCTGTGGAGCTTGGACGTGTACCATGAATTTCTGCAAATCTAGTTTGGGGATTTTTATGAAGGCTTTCTCACGGGCATGATGGATTCAATCTCTTCCCTCCCTTCTAATCACCACCATAGTCTCTGGTGATCAGCACCCATGCTGAAGTCATCTACCTAGGAACCGAGGAAGAGTAAAGGAGTTGCCTCATTAGAAAAAGACACTCCTCACCCAGGGAATTCTAAGGGTTCTATGAATTGTCATGACCTGGGGTGAAAAACCAAATTATGAGAATAAAGATGCTCCTCTTAGACCCCTGTCACTTAGGAAATTACAAAGGTTTTAGGGGCTTGATGCAGGTACTGCTTTGTCATATCTTACGTCTGATTAAACACACACACACACACACACACACACCAAACTCCTGTCTCCATGATATCTTACGTCTGATTAAACACACACACACACACACACACACACACACACACACACACACCCAAACTCCTGTCTCCATGATCATATCTTACGTCTGATCAAACACACACACACACACACACACACACCAAACTCCTGTCTCCATGATCAACATCACACTAGTGCAAAGCCTTCTGCCTGCACTGAAACCACTTCTCTTCACCTGAAATTACCTTTCCACTAACCAACTCCTATCCAGTCTTCCTTATTTTCCAAAACTGCCACTCCCTGGTACGTACAATTTTTGATGTCTGATTGCAGCAACATACTATATTTATAGTGCCATTTTCAAGTATGTAATTTATTGGCTAGTTCTGGGAAAGGAAAATGTAGAAACAGAACACAGCTAATAAATACTACAAGAGGATAATATAGTGAAGAGATTTGGGATTCTGTTTTATTTTGGGGGAAATCAAATGAAAAATATT